CCTTGTGATCTGCCTGCCTCAGCCTCCCAAAGTGCTAGGATTACAGGCGTGAGCCACTGCACGTGGCCTCCAATGATATTATTAATCAATTTTACTTTAATCTGTGCAGCATAGCTTTAGAACAGTACTAGATTGGCTGCTTCCACTTTTTACCATCTGATTCCACTTGCAGTGATGTGTAGGAAGCAGTGCATGACTCAGGCGTTGCTCTGCGTTCTCGGAAAATAAAGCAGGTTCTTATCCATTATCAGATGTAAACGGAAAGAATCTTTATGCCTACATGTCCTATGCAGTTCAGGTACATTAGTAATCTCCATCTGGTTCCTCTAAATTTGTACTGTGAACTGATGAAGAGAATATATTAATAGTCCTATGACTGTATTCTTTTTCTTTTTGGAAACAGGGTCTTACTCTGTCTCCCAGCCTGTAGCACAGTGGTGCCATCATAGCTCACTGCAGCCTCGAACTCCTGGGTTCAAGTGATCCACCTGCCTCAGCCTCCTGAGTAGCTGGGACTACAGGCATGTTCCATGAAGCCCAGCTAATTTTTAATTTTTTTTTTTTTTTTTTTGGTAGAGACGGGGGTCTCACTATGTTGCCCAGGCTGGTCTTGAACTTCTGGCCTCAAGTGATCCTCCCGCCTGAACCCCACAAAGTGCTGGGACTTCAGCCACCACGCCTGGCCCTGTGTTTCCAGTGAAAATGTTCTATGAGTTCATACCAATAATTTTCCTGAAGTTTTATTCTTCAACATTATATTTTAACTTCATACCACCTATTGGCTAAATGCATCTCTTTGTGCAATATTGTCCAAAATGTTGGGCATATTTGTTCACAGTTTCTAAAATGAGAGTGATGCCACCATTAACCATTCTTTTTTGTTGGAGATTTCCACAACCTGCTAGACAAACTCTCGTAAAGCTGTAACACTCTGTGTGAATTACTTATGCGAATATTGAGGAAAAATTGATGGTAGAAAATGTCTTTGAGTTATGTTGAGTTCATGCTTTTGAAATACGTGTATATTGCCCCTTACTCAGACTGAATCACAGTACGGCGCTGAGTCCCTTCCCAAAAGGGTGACTCCAAACATAACCGGGGAAAAAAGGAAGCAGGCACCCCAGTGTGCACAGCACAGTGGTGTGGTTCTTGTCGGGGCGCATACTTAGCTCTGCTTCATCTGAGTCCGGGCTATGCCTGCTTCGCCTCACCCTCAAATATTTTCAGGGTTTTTTTTTTTTTTTTCCTTCTCAAATGTAATTTATGAAAAAGTAGGTTACCGAACTAAGAGCAAACAAACCCATGTGGCATTGCATTTTAAACATAAAGTAACACTTGCTCTATTTAAGATGAAGCTTCTGCAGATGGAACATAAAGGGTGTTTTCATCTTCCGCTTGACGATACACTTTCGGCTGCTTGCAGAATTGCAGCCAAGATGTGTGTTAATCCTTTCTGTGACCGCGGACTCCGCGGCGGCAGCTGCTGTGAGGCGGGCATCTGAATTCCAGGAGCAGTGAGGGACAGGAATAACAAGGCCAGGTGTTGCCCGCCTGCCCGCAGAGTGAAAGAGCTGCTTCACTGCGCCTCTCCCCTGCGCCGCGGGAAGCCACGGGCAGGAGCATGGAGCGTGCCCAGGGGCCCAGCCAGGCCAGAGCACCAGGTTCAGCAGTGTTGGCGTCCACCCTAGCACACACCTTGGTTTTGGCAGCATGCTTCCCAGAGATCCACAGTATATAAAGTTATGGAAATAAAGTTCATGAAAGAGAACAGTGTGAGAAAAAAATGTGAATGCGTTTCCTCTGGCTCAAATCACCGAATGCTTTGAGCCACATTGTTTTTAGACGTTTTTGTTTATTTTTTTTTTAAGTAGATCTCCCTTGCCAAGAATAGAATGTCTGATTTTCTAAATAACTGGAGTGGGTTTTGTTGTTGTTTATATTTCATCCCCAATGAGGAATTGTTTGTAGGTTTAACATAGATGTGAAAGTAACCGGGATTGTATCTGAATGGACCGAGGGGCTGTAAAATGGCATGTCAATGGAGTTTTGCTTTTGGCTGTGTGAAGGTGGCTTTTGCGAAGAATTCTGATCTGTTGGTTTTCTCATGCTACGTTCTGGAAGATGAAGCTGGTGTTGTTAAGGATGTGGAGTGGGAAGCTCGTTTACTCAGAGGGTGGAGCCCTGAGCGCTGGGATGATTCTGTCTTTACTCCCCATGTTTAGCCATCGAGTTGAGTTCCTCCATCAGAGCACCGTAAAATCCCACAGGGCTTAGGGACTAGGTTATATACCTGTCACAAGCCCTGCAAGTTCTGCTTCTCTGAGAGCTTCTGACCCCACCTTGTCTAGGCAGCACCGTTTGCAGAGGGCTCTGAAGTACAGCAAGGGAGCTGGTCTCCCTGGAACACCATGGGGGGAGGAGGGGAGTGACATGTTACGCCTGCATTTGGAAAGATCCCTGGCATCTGTGAGGAAGGTGATCCGGGAAGCGACAAGCTGGGAGTCCAGAGAGAGGATGAGGGATGGAAGCAGGCGTTGGGGTTGGGCAGGCTTGAGAGAGAACCTCCTCGAAAGCCCACGTGGTGGGACGTGAGTGCTGGGGGCTGGGGCTGGATGGGAGAATCCTCTGCCACCTCTGGTGGAACAGATCACCGGGTGAACATGTCTTGGTGACTTCAGACGCCATTCCCCGTGCCTTCCGTCCTGGGCAAGGAAGAGATCACAGAGCTTGGGAAGGGACATGGCTGCACCCTACAGGTGGCTCCGATGATGGCCTCGCATCCCCCAGGGAGAGAGTCTTAGTCATCAGGTATTACACGTGGGCGAGAGGTTGACCCTTGGCTGGCTGGCAGCTGACAGCTAGAATTAGAGAATGCAGGGCAGCCAGAGAGGTCACTTTGAGACATGTCGAGGATGAGGTGTGCCCGATGGGACATCTGCGTGGCTGTGTTCAGCAAGGGTTGAATGCTAACCTGGGACAAGGGAAACCTGGGTGGCCAGTGTGAGACTCAGATGTCCCTAGAACAGGACACAATAGGGTCATATGGTGATCGTAGCTGAGGCCATAGTCCAGTCTGTGCTTTCTCTCTCTCCCCATATTCTACCACAGTCCTCATTCAGATTCCTCCCCTGCAGCCTCTCAGTTCCCCGCTAGAATTCCTTTTTTGGGGGGCGGGGAGACAGGGTCTCACGCTGTCACCCAGGCTGGAGCGCAGTGGCGCAATCCCGGCTCACTGCATCCTCCACCTCCCGGGTTCAAGCAATTCTCCCACCTCAGCCTCCAGAGTAGCTGGGATTACAGGCACGCACCACCATGTCCAGCTAATTTTTGTATTTTTAATAGAGACGGGGTTTCACCATGTTGGCCCGGATGGTCTTGATCTCCTTACCTAGTGATCCGCCCGCCTCAGCCTCCCAAAGTGCTGGGATGTGACAGGCGTGAGCCACCGCTCCTGGCCTGGAATTCCTTTTCATCTGGCCACTGAGCTGTAGGATAGTCCACTGGCACATTTTGCCGTTGGTCGGCATTGTTTGATGGTGGTGGTGGTAATGGTAGTTCCAGATGATTCTATGTGTTTCTCCCATTTCTTAGGTGTCAGATACTAGGAAACCCATTTGGCTCCTGCAGATAAGTTGGCAGAGAGAGGCCCTCGTTCACCTTTATCAGATGTCACCTGTAGAAAGGTGGCAGAGAGCTGGTGCACTGGCACTCACTGCAGAGATGTGATTGCAAACCCAGGGGCCTGATTGCTGCCCTCAGCGGTGGGCTTCTCTGTCCTAGAGCATCTTCCCCGTCACGTGACTGTGCTTGGTTTCAGGGGCTGGTGTATTCCCAGGAGAGGCAGGCTGAGCACTCTTCCTGCTGCGGGTTCCCCTGGCGTTAGGATTTTCCAAAACATTGTAAGAACTAACATGAGAAAAAAGAAATAGCCTTTATCTCTCGTGCCTGACAGATAATCCGATTACTCTGGGGATTCGATAAAAATAAATCATTGTTTATTCTTAGAGTTATCTTCTGTGATGACCGAAGTAATCATTTGTGAGACACTTTCAAAATTTAAATCAGATGTACAGAACTCGGCTTCAGGAACAAGTAAATATAGAAAGGGCCACGCGGTCCAGGCACAGTGGCTCACACCTGTCATCCCAGCACTTTGGGATGCTGAGGTGGGCGGGTCACTTGAGGTCGGAAGTTCAAGACCAACCTGGGCAACATGGTGAAAACGCCTCCCCACAAAATATCCCAAAAAAATAGCTGGGTGTGGTAGTGCACACCTGGAGTTCCAGCTACTTGGGAGGCTGAGGTGGAAGGATAGCTTGAACCCAGGAGGTGGAGGCTGCAGTGAGCCAAGGTCATGCCACTGCACTCCAGCCTGAGTGACAGAGCCAGACTCTGACTCAAAAAACAAAAGACAAAACAGAAAGACTCATGTGAATTTGAAGAGAGTTTGCATGAGAGTTTGAATGTGAGTTTGAAGAGTCTGATTGATTATGTCATAGAAGCCATTTGCTCTCAGCTGTGTGCCCCTGGAAGCCACTGTGGGGACCCCGTCGTGCTCCTGATGTGTCTCGGGGGTGATGCTTAGAGACCCTGAGGGCAGTGTATTTCTGTGTTTCCCTGTTCTGTTTTACTTTCCCTAATACTTTACAAAACTGTGCGACGGGCCGGGCGCAGTGGCTCACACCTGTAATCCGAGAATTTTGAGAGGCCAAGGCAGTTGATCATCTGAGGTCAGGAGTTCGAGACCAGCCTGGCCAACACGGTGAAACCCCATCTCTACTAAAAATGCAAAAAATTAGCCGGGCATGGTGGTACACGCCTGTAATCCAGCTACTTGGGAGGCTGAGGCAGGAGAATTGTTTGAACCCGGGAGGAGGAGGTTGCAGCAAGCCAAGATCGTGCCATTGCACTCCAGCCTGGGCGACAGAGCAAAAACTCCACCTCAAAACAAAAAAAAATATGCAATGGCTTTCTGCTAACATATCTGGTTTTGTTCCCAGGACATGTCCTCATAGAGATTTCAAGTACCCACAAGAAACTCAACGAGAGTCTTGATGAAAATGTACGTGATCTGTGTTTCTATTTACAAAATACACTTGTTTTAGGTTTTAGAACTTACTTTGCTTAAAGTCTCAAATCTGGTGTGAATTTATTTCCTTCTGTTAACAGTTTAAAAAATTCCACAAAGAGATTATCCACGAGCTGGAGAAGAAGATAGAACTTGATGTGAAATATATGAACGTAAGTGCATGGTTCTCCTCCAGCCCCAGCCTTGGACTGCCTGACCTCCCACCCTGAGAACTCATTCCCACTGTTGACTCATCAGCAGCAGACAGGAGCGAAGGCTCCCTGTTGATGATACCCAGATGCATGAAACTGACAAGCTCCCTTTGGGCTGCATGGACCGGTTTTTGCTAACACTTGGGATCTCTATTAGAAAGCATAGGGGCCAGGTGCGGTGGCTCATGCCTGGTAATCCCAGCACTTTGGGAGGCCAAGGTGGGTGGATCACTTGAGGTCAGTAGTTCAAGACCAGCCTGGCCAACATAGTGAAACCCCATCTCTACTCAAAATACAAAAAAAATTAGCCAAGCATGGTGGCACATGCCTGTCATCCCAGCTACTCAGGAGGCTGAGGCAGGAGAATGGCATGAACCCGGGAGGCAGAGTTTGCAGTGACTCGAGATGGCGCCATTGCACTCCAGCCTGAGCGATAGAGCTAGACTCCATCTCAAAAAAAAAAAAAAAAAAAAAAAAAAACCTAGGAAAAAGTATTGCCAGAAATCACGCTGCTTCCAGAAAGCATCGTCTTCACAGAATACATTCATGCTGTAGGACATCTGTGCTTGCGTCACTGCAGCTGATGCAGACAAGCCAGCAGCGCTTCAGGCTGTGGGTGGTGTGCGGGAGAGTGCCGGGACACGCCCAGACCCATCTGCAGAGACCGCTCCTGCATGGCGCCCCTTCTCTGTCCACTGTTGTCCATTCCAGCAGATTTCTCCAGGTCCCCTTCAGGGTGGCCCTTCTGCCTCAGTATTTAGGGCTTTTGCCATCTTCCCTTGCTGCTACAGAGTACTTAACTTTCTCCTGCCACCCAAAGCCCCCTTTCTGCTCACCAAGACCCCCGTGTGGCAGTGAGTGTGTGAGTTGCCCTGAAATCATCCCTCCCCTGTGGTCCTCGTGAGGCCTGCTGCCTGGCTTCACGCTCCCAGCTGGAGGCCACAGGACCTGGACAGCTGCTAAGGTGCATTATCTGATTGTTATCCTTTCAGAAACTCCAAAACATAAACAACCCTTCTTTTTTTTTTTTTTTTTTTTTTGAGATGGAGTCTTGCTCTGTTGCCCAGGCTGGAAGTGCAGTGGTGCAATCTCGGCTCACTGCAGCCTCCGCCTCCTGGGTTCCAGCGATTGTCCTACCTCAGCCTCCCAATTAGCTGGGATTACAGGTGTTCACCCCCACACCCGGCTGATTTTTATATTTTTTAGTAGAGAGATGGAGTTTCACCATATTAGCCAGCCGGGTCTTGAACTTCTTACCTCGAGATCCACCCGCCTCGGCCTCCCAAAGTGCTGGGATTAGAGATGTGAGCCACCGCGCCTGGCCAGACACCCTTCTTATTTGCACTTCACAGATTATAGGAAAAACAGGAATTTGAATTCTGATGCAGGTCTGTTTAAGACCCTGTGTTTGCTGGGCGCGGTGGCTCATGCCTGTAATCCCAGCACTTTGGGAGGCCAAGGTGGGTGGATCCTGAGGTCAGGAGTTCGAGACCAGCCTGGCTGACATGGTTGAACCCTGTCTCTACTAAAAATACAGCCGGGCGTGATGGTGTGCGCCTGTAATCCCAGCTACTTGAGAGGCTGAGGCACGAGAATCGCTTGAACCTGGGAGGCGAAGAGTGCAGTGGCGCCATCTCGGCTTGCTGCAATCACCTTGGTGGCTAAGTGCTTTGGATGGGACTTGGAGACTTTGGGTGGCAGAAGAAAGTTAACTACCCAGCATCAAAAAGCCTTTGAGGAAAGAAGGAATAAAAGAAAGAGACGGCCGGGCACGGTGGCTCAAGCCTGTAATCCCAGCACTTTGGGAGGCCGAGACGGGTGGATCACGAGGTCAGGAGATCAGGACCATCCTGGCTAACACGGTGAAACCCCGTCTCTACTAAAGAATACAAAAAACTAGCCGGGCGAGGTGGTGGGCGCCTGTAGTCCCAGCTACTCGGTAGGCTGAGGCAGGAGAATGGCGTGAACCCAGGAGGCGGAGCTTGCAGTGAGCCGAGATCCAGCCACTGCACTCCAGCCTGGGCAACAGAGCGAGACTCCATCTCAAAAAAAAAAAAAAAAGAAAAGAAAGAGAAGATGTCCTCAGAGACCTGCCTTCTGGTCAGGGCTCCTCATTTAAACAGTAACCTTTAGAACAAAGCCAAGACATTAAAGTTGAATGAAGGGGGCCATGTGAACTGAGGGGTGAGGGTTCTCACCAGTGTGTGGATGGTGTGAACCTCAGAGTGAGGGTCCCAACCATCGTGCAGATGGTGTGAACTGCAGAGTGAGGGCTCCAGCCAGCATAAGGATGGTGTGAAATGAGGGCCCCGGCCAGTGTAAGGATGATGTGAACTGTGGGGTGAGGGTCCCAGCCAGCGTAAGGATGGTGTGAAATGAGGAGTGTGGGCCCTGGGCAGTGTGAGGATGATGTGAACTGTGTGATGAGGGTCCCAGCCAACATGGAGATAGTGTGAACTGAGGGATGAGGGCCCTGGTCAGCATGAGGATGGTGTGAAGTGTGGGTGTGAGGACCCTGGCCAGCAGGAGGATGGTGTGAACTGGTGTGGGTGTGGGGGCCCCAGCCAGCGTGAGGATGCCATGAAGTGAGGGTGTCAGGGCGCTGGTGAGCCATACACAGTGGAAGTGTGAGCAGAAGCAACTGTGACAATTTGTGTGGTAATAAGCACAGCAATTTAACTTACAGGCAACTCTAAAAAGATACCAAACAGAACACAAGAATAAATTAGAGTCTTTGGAGAAATCCCAGGCTGAGTTGAAGAAGATCAGAAGGAAAAGCCAAGGAGGCCGAAACGCACTCAAATATGAACACAAAGAAATTGAGGTGAGCTTTTCAGCAATATCTTGTTTTCTTTTGTTGTTGACAATTTATACAGTTGAAGAGGAGGTTGGCTGGGCGCGGTGGCTCACGCATGTAATCCCAGCACTTTGGGAGGCCAAGGCAGTGGGATCATATGAGGTCAGGAGTTCAAGACCAGCCTGGCCAATGTGGTGAAACCTTGCCTCTACTAAAAGTACAAAAATTAGCTAGGGTGATGGCAGGTACCTGTAGTCCCAGCTACTCAGGAGGCTAAGGCAGGAGAATTGCTTGAACTTGGGAGGCAGAGGTTGCAGTGAGCCAAGATTATGCCACTGCACTCCAGACTGGGTGACAGAGCAAGACTCCATCTCAAAAAAAGAAGAGTTTTGAAGTTGATCTCATGGAATTGGGAAGTATAATGGTGGTTACATTTCATTCTGTAGATAGCTGAGGATGGTCAGTGTGTTGACTGGGGGGTGGATGAAGGAGAGGTTGGTTAATGGGTCCAAACATACAGTTGGATAAAAGAAATAAGTTCTAGCGTCCAATAGCAGAGTAGGGTGACTATAGTTAACGGCAATGCATTGTTTATTTCAAAATAGTTAGAAGAGAGGTCTTGGAATGTTCCCAACACATAGAAATAATAAGAACTTGAGGTGATGGACACCAAAGGACCCTGCTTTATCATTATCACGTGTGCCCTATAAATATATAAATATAATCTATCAGTTTTTAAAAATAAGCATTTTGACTGAGAGCTGAAGGCTGTAGAGTTTTCCAGAGTTAAGTATAATTAATCCGTGACCTCCTGCCAAAACATGGGCTTTTTCTCCTGGCTCTGAAAGAAGAAGGGATTCTCCATGATCAGTGTTACTATTCCCATTGTACAGATGGGAAAAATGAGACTTAGGTTAAATCATATTTTATTAGTCTGTTTTCATGCTGCTGATAAAGACATACCCTGAGACTGGGCAATTTACAAAAGAAAGAGGTTTAATGAACTCACAGTTCCACATGGCTGGGGAGGCTTCTCAAAATCGTGGTGGAAGGGAAGGAGGAGCAAGTCACGTCTTAACACGGATGGCAGCAGGCAAAGAGAGAGCTTGTGCAGGAAATGCCCCCTTATGAAACCACCAGATCTTGTGAGACTTCTTCACTATCACAAGAATAGCACGGGAAAGGCCTGCCCCCATGAATCAGTTACCTCCCACCAGGTCCCTCCCGAAACACATAGGAATTATGGGAGCTACAAATCAAGATGAGATTTGGGTGGGGACACAGCCAAACCATATCACGTATTGTTGGCATTTGGAACTGGGTTTGAACCAGGAACTTTCTGGTTCCAAAGTACATGGTGCTTTCCAGCAGGACAGGTTCATATCTCTGGAGTACAAAATAATATTTGTGCAAATCGCCCCTTGGGAATGTCAAGCCCTGGGGCAACTTCTCTCTGCACATGAGTCAGGGACCTCAAGGAGAATGATGGTATCTACTTAGGTCAGGTTACAGCATTCTTTCCTCTCATGTATTTACTCTGTTATTCAAATAAAGCAGGCGTAAAGATGGCAGAAGATAAACGTCAGGCTGCACGCTATCTGATGCTCATGTCATACTTAAGTAATTACTGTTTTTTTTTAGTACGTGGAGACCGTTACTTCTCGTCAGAGTGAAATCCAGAAATTCATTGCAGATGGTTGCAAAGAAGCTCTGCTTGAAGAGAAGAGGCGCTTCTGCTTTCTGGTTGATAAGCACTGTGGCTTTACAAACCACATACATTATTATCACTTACAGGTGGGTGTGGTGGCAAATTGCCTTGAGTATTAATAACCTTATTTCATATTTAAATGCCCCAGAAGACTGGGCCATGGCTCCCGCCTGTAATCCCAGCACTTTGGGAGGCTGAGGTGGGCCTGGGCAACATGGCAGAACTCTGTGTCTATAAAAAATAAAAAAAAACTAGCCAGGCATGGTAGCATGTGCCTGTAGTCCCAGCTACTCAGGAGGCTGACGTGGGAGGATCCCTTGAGCCTCGGAAGTTGAGGCTGCAGTGAGCTACGATTGTGCCACTGCACTCCAACCTGAGCAACGGAGCAGGACCCTGTCTCAATCAGTCCATACATACAGAGATACACATACATGCACGCCACCCAGTTTCCGCACAGGCCCAATATAAAGCAGTGGGCCATTTTGCCAATGAAAAGATTCCAGAGAAACTGGTTTTGGCCAACTTGAACATAAAAACTTATAGAAATACAGCTGAAATGGTCAAATTTCCATGTATAATGTTTAATTAATTAATAATACATCCATATTTAATGTCCTTCCTAAAATAATGCTTCATCATTGAAAAATAGCACATGTTTGCTCTTCTCACCTGCGAGTCAGCTTTCCCCAGGCCCTTTCTGATGTGTCCTCAGCATCACTGTCTTCACCATGGCTGCATGGCTGCCGGTGAGTCCCAGCGGGCCTGGGGCTACGCCACCTGGGCAATTTGAGATGCTCCCTTCATGGGTCTGTGTCCGGGGGTCATGGGCAGCTCTGCCCCAGCCCACGGGCCGCCATTTACGCACCTCAGGACGGCTGGGCTCAGCGATGTGTTCATTCCTCTTGGTCGCGTTGGTTCCTGGTTTCTTCAACTGAATGACCTCATCACCCTCCTTCCAACACACGCAGCTGTGAGGTTCGAACCTCCAGGAATCATTATGCAACACACGTCACATTTCCTTTCCTTTGTTTTACATTATGAACTCTGCTGGGCCTTGGTAAACATCCAAAACTAGCACTGGTTGAGGTCAGAAACTCATTGTTGTTCATAGTAAAGTTAGAGAGTGTTCCAAAATAGGAGAAGCTTTGCAAGAGCTTGAAGGTAAGTCAACTTCGTCTTTGTTTTAAAGGAAAAATACCCTGGCCTTGTATGTATGCAAATGTTGTGTTTTCTATAAACTTTTTACAACTTTAAGGAATATTCAGGACTGGGCATGGTGGCTCACCCTTGTAATCCCAACACTGTGGGAGACCAAGGTGGGTGAATCACTTGAGGTCAGGAGTTTGAGACCAGCCTGGCCAACATGGTGAAACCCTGTCTCTACTAAAAATATAAAAATTAATCATATGTGGTGGTGGGCACCTGTAATCCCAGCTACTCAGGAGACTGAGGCAGGAGAATTGCTTGAACCCAGGAGGCAGAGGTTGCAGTGAGCCCAGATTGCACCACTGCACTCCAGCCTGGACAACAGAGCAAGACTCTGTCTCACAAAAAAAAAAAAAAAAAAGGAATATTCAGCTCCCTAAACTAAATAAGATTTAAAATTCATACAGCAGGCCAGGCACAGTGGCTCACGCCTATAATCCCAGCTCTTTGGGAACCAGGGCAGGAGGATCACTTGAGCCCAGGAGTTCCAGACCAGCCTGGGCAACATAGCGAGACCCTGTCTCTCCAAAAACAAAAAAAAGTTTTAATTAGCCAGGTGTGGTGGTGTGCACCTGTGGCCCCAGCTAGTCAGGTGGCTGAGGTGGAAGGATTATTTGAGCCCAGGAGTTCGAGGTTGCAGTGAGCTGTGATTGTGCCAGTGCACTCCAGCCTGGGTGACAGAGCCAAAATCCTCTCTCAGAAAAGAACAGAATGGTTACAGCAAAGGAAATAATTGCTGTATTAGGTGATCACTTTTGTCAACAGCACATCTGTACTAGTTCCGGGAATGTAGAGTTCACTTCAGAATCTTCTCTTCCCAGAGTGAGGGCATCCTATGGCACCGGGGTTGCAGGCTGGAGAGGGACAGAGGTGACCTCGAGGTTCTCTTCCTGCGTGGTGCCCCGCCGTGTCATGAGGCAGCCTGGCCCCTTTTCAGGGAGCTCCAGTTATCAGCAGTCTTTCTTAGACTTAACCATGGGTCCCCAGTAATGCTTTATAGAGTGATGCAGACCAAAACTGCTCCTTTCTATACTGGAAGTTTCTTCAAGTATCTGAAAACTGGTTTTGTGACTTCTCTTAATCCAGCTAAAGTGCCCTAGTCCTTTCTGTGGAGTTGGGATGAAGCAGGCCCAAGCAGCTGGTCCACCGTGCTGCAGAGTGTCAGGGTGACAGTTGGGGACAAGGGTGGTGTGAGGGGGCTTTGCCCTTCCCCAGGACTGACATCAGCCCCCGCCACTCTTGATAAACTCAGAAGCTGAGTAAAAGCAGTGCGACTGCCGTGCACACAGCTGCAGGACAGGCCCCTGCCTCCCCTTTTCCAACCAGAGTGCCGTTCAGAAAAGGTGTTCGCTGGAAGCGCTTGGGGGGCCTCTCAGAGTCCAGCTGTCAGCAGAGCCAGGCTCGTGGGTGCTGGAGGGGCGCTCTGCCTCCAGGGTTGCGGGTTCTCGCCCCTGCTGGTCAGGTCTGCTCTGCAAAGCCTTGTTTGGCCTGTGGTGCGGGGGGCATCCCTCAGCACTGCCCACCACTCACCCACGGTCCCTCTTCCCCATAGACAGACTCTCAGGACAGTCTGATTCACTTCTCTAATGTCTGAATCGGTCAGAGCCAACTCCTGGGCCAGTGGCCTGTGTTGGAGGTGCTGCTTTTAATAGGAGTGGGAGGGAAAAAGTGATGGTTGACGTTTCTGGGGCCACCTGGAAAACGGGATTCCTACAGATTGCTCACTCCCTCCCTTTGCGTTTACGTTCTTGTTCTTAACCATTTACCATCTCCACATTAGTCCCATGCTATGTATTCACACTGAGGGAGCAGGATATTTCCTTTAGAGTCAGAGCCTTTGCCCCTCTCGGCCAGTGAGACACAGCTGATCCTCTGGGCACTCAAAGTGCTCACCTAGTAGTTTAACCCAGAGCCCCCACACTCCTGGTGCTAAGCCAGTAATTCTGTTATCAGCGATATGACGTGATGTCATTTTTCTCAGCTCTTCAGACAATCATCTTTGTCTTTAGTCTTCTTCTTTTGGCTTTGCAGTCTGCAGAACTACTGAATTCCAAGCTGCCCCGGTGGCAGGAGACCTGTGTTGATGCCATCAAAGTGCCAGAGAAAATCATGAATATGATCGAAGAGATAAAGACCCCAGCCTCTACTCCCGTGTCCGGAACGCCTCAGCCTTCACCCATGATTGAGAGAAGCAATGTGGTAGGAACCGGTTTTCTCTTCCGGATTTCAATCATGTGTTTCCTGACTTGATCTGGGCCGCGTTTGCCTTTGTTGGTGGGAATCACAGGTCCTCCTTTAGTACTTCCAGGACCACCTTTTCACAGCTCTATCCCCTTACCTTTAGGGGTGAAGGTAGCTGGGCACATGTTTGTCTTTTGTTATTGAGGCCGAGTCTTTCTTGTTCTGTCGCCCAGGCTGGAGTGCAGTGGTGTGATCTCGGCTCACTGCAACCTCCACCTCCCAGGTTCAAGCGATTCTCCTGTCTCAGCCTCCTGAGTAGCTGGGATTACTGGGGCACACCACCATGCCCGGCTAATTTTTGTATTATTAGTAGAGATGGGGTTTCACCATGTTGGTCAGGCTGGTCTCGAACTCCTGACCTCATGATCTGCCTGCCCTGGCCTGCCAAAGTGCTGGGATTACAGGCATGAGCCACCACAAGCTGGGCACATGTTTTATACTATGTTTGGCGCTATTATCTTTGTTTTGGAAATTTTATCCTTACTCAGTTTTTTTTGTTGTTTTTTGAGACAGAGTCTTGCTCTGTCACCCAGGCTAGAGTGCACTGGCCTGATCTCGGCTCACTGCAAGCTCTGCCTCCTGGGTTCACGCCATTCTCCTGCCTCAGCCTCCCAAGTAGCTGGGACTACAGGCACCCGCCACCACACCTGACTAATTTTTTTGTATTTTTAGTAGAGACGGGGTTTCACCATGTTAGCCAGGATGGTCTCAATCTCCTGACCTCATGATCTGCCCACTTCGGTCTCCCAAAGTGCTGGAGTTACAAGCGTGAGCCACCGCACCCGGCTGTCCTTACTGTTTTTAATTGTAATCATTCCAACTAAGTTTACTCCCAAGGAAGGAAGTATAGGTGTCTCAGAATAAATTAGACACACTCTGATGGCATTCATCACAATGTAAGGCACTTCAGGAAAATAAAAAAAAGGCCTCAAAGTATTCACAGTAATGAATTCACACGTTTGTTGTTTGCTGATCTTTGAACCTGGGCTCTATTTGGAGACTGGGATGTAGCAGGTGGTTTGAACACATGGATCCACTCTTTCTGCCCATCTCAAACCCCCTGAAATGTGGCGAGGCATGGTGGCTCACACCTATAATCCCAGCGCTTTGGGAGGCCTTAGCGGGCAAATCACTTGAGGTCAGAAGTTCGAGACCAGCCTGGCCAACATGGTGAAACCTCGTCTCTACTAAAAATACAAAAAATAGCCGGACGTGGTAGTACGTGCCTATTATCCAGCTACCCAGGAGGCGGAGGTTGCAGTGAGCCGAGATGGCGCCACTGCATTCCAGCCTGGGCAACACAGCGAGACTCTGTCTCAAAGTAAATAAATAGCCTATGATTTAAAAAGCCTTGGGAATCTGTAATTCCAGTTCTGTGTTATGCTAATATTGGACTAATAAACAATTTTTCACAGGTGAGGAAAGATTACGACACCCTTTCTAAATGCTCACCAAAGATGCCGCCCGCTCCTTCAGGCAGAGCTTATACCAGTCCCTTGATCGATATGTTTAATAACCCAGCCACGGCTGCACCGAATTCACAAAAGATAAATAATTCAACAGGTAAGAGATTCAGTCTGATTTATTTGAAGATACCTTTTACCTTTGTTTTAAGATAAGCCGTGAAATCAATATTTTGGATAAATGTGTCGCAAGGTCGGGAGGTAAACAAGCAGGTATGGTGGCTACGTTCAGCCCTGGCTTTGCAGAGCGTGAGTTCAGAACAAATACAGGTCCAGACTATGAGGTGCTCTGATAAGTGATAGATTTCTCTGACATTTACCAGTTCTACGCATTGACCGATGTTTATCCAGAGTAAACATACTGTTGAGAATTACCTATTTACAAATAAATGGAGGCCGGGCGTGGTGACTCACACCTGTAAACCCAGCCCTTTGGGAGACCGCGGCAGGTGGGTCACCTGAGGTCAGGAGTTTGAGACCAGCCTGGCCAACATGATGAAACCCCATCACTACTAAAAATACAAAAAATTAGCCGGGCGTGGTTGTGCCTGCCTATAATCCCAGCTACTCAGAAGGCTGAGGCAGGAGAATCACTTGAACCCAGAAGGCAGAGGTTGCAGTGAGCTGAGATCGCACCACTGCGCTCCAGCCTGGGTGACAAGTGCAAAACTCTGCCTCAACCAATCCATCCATCCATCGATCAATAAGAAACATGCATAGCCTCGCTGTGTGTTCCATATTTGGTGGCAATTGTAATAAAACTTTTCTTTGCAATAAAATAAGCTATAAAAGATAACATTGAAATGGGAAAGATTCCCTTGTCCCCCTTGCAGGGCCTGCAATGAGGGTGTGGCTCGCCTCTTCAGTGGCCCGGCGCTCAGACCTCTAGGGGCGTAGACAGACGGGCAGGCTGTGGGGTTCCCACGTCACAGCAGTGTCTAGGGACGACCGTTTACAGCTGAAGCCCCAGGGGGCGCATGTTACTGTATGCTCTTTCAGTTTGAGTTTGAGCCTATAGGTGGCTTGTGTTAACCAACTCAATTACACCCTCTACCTTGTCACAGGGAGAGAGGGTTTTCAGTATCCCGGGTTCTTACCTTGGTGTACCGGAAGAATCGGGTCACACGTGAGCTCGGAGAATGAGTGCAAGGCTTTATTGAGCGGAGGCAGCTCTCAGCAGATGGGGGAAGTCAGGAGGGGATAGAGTGGGAAGGTTTTCCTCTGGAGTAGGGCCCCTCAGTGGCCTTGACCAACTGTTGCAGCCAAACTCTGTCGTTCTGCTGGTCAGTGGTCTGCCAGCATGCTGGAGCCTGTCGGTGCCTCCCTCTCGATGCCTAGCCACTGTGTTTGTTCCTCCAGCGACAGGCTCCTTTCAACGTCCAGCAGCTTGCATGTCTGCCTGCTTAGGTTCTTGAGGGTTTTTTTTGTTTTTTTTTTTTTTTTGAGACGGAGTCTCGCTCTGTCGCCCAGGCTGGAGTGCAGTGGCCGGATCTCAGCTCACTGCAAGCTCCACCTCCCAGGTTTATGCCATTCTCCTGCCTCAGCCTCCCGAGTAGCTGGGACTACAGGCGCCCACCACCTCGCCCGGCTAGTTTTTTGTATTTTTTAGTAGAGATGGGGTTTCACCGTGTTAGCCAGGATGGTCTCGATCTCCTGACCTCGTGATCCGCCCGTCTCGGCCTCCCAAAGTGCTGGGATTACAGGCTTGAGCCACCGCGCCCGGCCGGTCTTCAGGGTTTTTATAGGTACAGGATGGGGGTGTGGCAGGCCAGGGTGGTCTTGGGAAATGCAACATTTGGGTGGGAAATGCCTGTCCTCACCTAGGTCCATGGGGGTGGAACCCTAGCCAGAGACCACACCCTCCTCTACCCAGCACTTTCCTTCCCCAGTTCCATATCATTTAAAGGGACCACGCTCTTCCCTTCCCAGCACTTCATAATTATCGACATGACAAAATTGTGATTATTAAGCTTACCAATAAGCTTGGTTTGAATTTTTTTTTTTTTTTTAATTCCCGAAATCAAGTCTCACTCTGTCACCCAGGCTGGAGTGCAGTGGCACGATCTCGGCTCACTGCAACCTCCACCTCCCAGGTTCAAGCGATTCTCCTGCCTCAGCTTCCCAAGTAGCTGAGACTGCAAGCATGTACCACCACGCCTGGCTAATTTTTGTATTTTTAGTAGAGACAGGGCCTCACCATGTTGGCCAGGCTGGTCTCGAACTGCTGACCTCAGGTGATCCACCCGCCTCAGCCTCCCAAAGTGCTGGGATTACAGGTGTGCGCCACCATGCCCAGCTGGTTTGAATTCTAATCAGTGTTTTTCGTCATCTCTAACAGAGCACCTCATGCTCTGTTGAAGAACTTAAGTTCTAACTTGGATTGCTTAATTTTGTTGACTGTATTTCAACAAGCTGGGGCCAGACGCAGTGGCTCATGCCTGTAATCCCAGCACTCGGGGAGGCCGAGGCGGGCGGATCGCTTGAGGCCAGAAGTTTGAGACCAGCCTGGCCAACATAGTGAAACCCTGTCTCTACTAAAAATACTAAAATTTAGCTGGGCGTCGTAGCTCACACCTGTAATCCCAGCTACTCAGGAGGCTGAGATACAAGAATCACTTGAACCCAGGAGGCGGAGGTTGCAATGAGCCGAGGTCGCGCCACTGCACCCCAGCCTGGGTGACACAGTGACAAAAACAAAAGTTGGAGCCAGTTACTGTCTGCAGATGTTGCCGGCTGCTTCACTGGTCAGACCCCGTCCTTCTGCACATTCTTATAACCCAGGACCCTCGAGACCTGTGCCATGGCCCCAACCCATCCACGTGGGGTGTGTCACAGGCCCCATGTTGTGAAGGTTGCGGCAGTCAAGCTGTTGATGAGAGAGAGCCGTGGACCAGAGTGTCCCAAGCTATTGGGCAAAAGAACAGAGTTTTCCAGAATGATGACTAGGATGGCCCAGCAGAGGAAGATGATGGTCTGTAGGCATTTGCCTTTGAAGGAAGTCCTGTCAATTAACTAAAATACACAGTTAAAGTTTATAATACTCTATGCATCCCAGTGATTCAGATGACTCTGGTTCTTATTGGTAAAAGCAGAATGAAATTTGCTGGTGGAGGGTTGGACATGGTGGCTCACGCCTGTAATCCCAGTACTTTGGGAGGCCAAGGTGGGAGGATCACTTGAGGCCAGGAGGTCAAGATCAGGCTGCGCAACATAGCGAGACACCATCTCTACCAAAAAAAATTTTTTTAATTAGCCTGGAATGGCGGCGTGTGCCTGTAGTCCCAGCTACTTAGGAGGCTGAAGAGGGAGGATCTTTTAAGCCCGGGAAGTCCAGGCTGCAGTGAGCTGTGATCCTGCCACTGCACTCCAGCCTGGGCAGCAGAGTGAGACTCTGTCTCAAATGTATATACATATATATTTTTTTTCCTACCTTTTTTTCCCTGGAGTGGAAATATCAGCCTGTGTTTGAATGGAGACGTGAACAGTACGGCCTCGTGCCCCTGAGTAGAGTGTATGGGACAAAACTGCCCTAACTGGTTCCTGGCCCAGCCGCTTGCCAGCTGTGGGGTCTGTCGTGTGGATAACAGTAGTTCCTTCCTCCTTGGAGCCTGGCGGGATGGCAGCTGTGAGACATTGAGATCGGTGACTGGCACCTGGTGAGGACTCTATAAACGCAACTCATCCTCACCTCGTCCTTCTTAGGCCCCGGGGGTGAGAAGCTGAGCGGCCAGCATGGCAAGACCGACTGCATTTCCAGCTTGCTTCTTTTCTTTGTGGACATTAGCAATTGAACTGTGGCCCTAGCCTGCCTTTGTGATTGGAATTGCGAGGGCAGTTTGGCGTCGGAGCCGTTTGCCTCTCTAAGGAGAGCCATCCTGGCCAAAGCAGAGTGCAGATCAACCCGGCACACGCCGCCCTGTCCTTGGGCCTGGAAAAGAGTCCGCAGCCGCAGGGATCCTCTTGTGCACGGTGCAAGCCTTCAGGCTACACGCTGCCTCTGTTTCTCAACAGTCCCTGCCCCTTCTGGGCAATGATCAAGGCGAGGAAATAGGACAGGGTCGGTTTCCGTGGAAGGAGTGTTGTTAGCAAGATGAGAACAGGTGGATTCCTGGGTTTCGCTCATTGGAACGTGCCTGTTGATTCTCATGCTTTCAAAAGCCATTACTGCTACACTCCCTCCAACAGGTACTTCCGAAGATCCCAGTTTACAGCGATCAGTTTCGGTTGCAACGGGGCTGAACATGATGAAGAAGCAGAAAGTGAAGACCATCTTCCCGCACACTGCGGGCGCCAACAAGACCTTACTCAGCTTCGCACAGGGAGACGTCATCACGCTGCTCATCCCCGAGGAGAAGGATGGCTGGCTTTATGGAGAACACGACGTGTCCAAAGCGTAAGTCTGGGTGTGATGGTCCCAGCAGGGCTCCAGACGGCCCCTGCCTTCCAGAACAGCCAGGCTGCAAATTGTCTTTGTGCACATGCTCACGTTTTAGCCAAAGTTAAGTTTATGGCTTAGTTCTAGTTTAGTTAAGTTACTCGATCCCAGGCTATTTTCTGTGTATCTGTGTGTGTAGAGATACATTTGGTGCATGCATAGTTATTAGAGCATATGAAGTCACCTCTCTGAAAGTAATTTAAACAGTCTTTTAAAAAAAATTAGCATTTGGCCGGTGCAGTGGCTCACGGCTGTAATCCCAGCACTTTGGGAGGCCGAGGCGGGCAGATCACCTGAGGTCAGGAGTTCCAGACCAGCCTGGCCAACATGGTGAAACCCCGTCTCTACTAAAAATACAAAAATTAGCTAGGCGTGGTGACAGGCACCTGTCATCCCAGCTACTCAGGAGGCTGAGGCAGGAAAATCTGGAATTGAACCTGGGAGGTGGAGGTTGCAGTGAGCTGAGATCGCGCCACTGCACTCCAGCCTTGGGTGATAGAGCAAGACTCCGTCTCAAAAAATAAATAAATAAAATTGTCATGTGCTTTATTGAGGATAATCTGCATATCGTATATACTTTGTTAAGGCTTAGCACATAGGTAGTTTGAATGCAATCCTCTTAATTTCAACCATAATTATGTGCACAAGCCTTCCAGTAACTAGCTTGTCAGATTTCTAGACAGACTGTTCCGATGTATTAAATAAAACCAATATGAAAAAAAGGGTAATCCAAATCAAATTAATGTCATACATACAACATATATTGCTTTTTAGCTAGGCATGGTGGTGTACACTTCTAGTCGCAGCTACTCAGATGCTGAGGCAGGACGATTGCTTGAGCCCAGGAGTTCGAGGCTGCTGTGAGCTATGATCGCATCACTGCACTCCAGCCTGGGCAACAGAGGGGAGACCTGGTGGCTCACGCCTGTAATCCCAGCACTTTGGGAGGCCGAGGCGGGCGGATCACAAGGTCAGGAGATCGAGACCATGGTGAAACCCCGTCTCTACTAAAAATAGAAAAAATTAGCCGGCGCAGTGGCGGGCGCCTGTAGTCCCAGCTACTCGGGAGGCTGAGGCAGGAGAATGGCGTGAACCCGGGAGGCGGAGCTTGCAGTGAGCCGAGATTGCTCCACTGCACTCCAGCCTAGGCGACAGAGCGAGACTCCATCTCAAAAAAATAAAAAATAAAAAATAAAAAATAAAAATAAATAAAAATAAAATAAAAATAAAAAATAAAAAATAAAAAGAAACAAGAAAAATTGTTAACAATACACATGGTTCAGTGTATGTGAAAGTCCATATTTATCTATTAAAAGCCTTAATTTTATTTACTCCACACGTGGGCCTTTCTGGAGCTGTGGACTGGTCTGCCCTGAGTTCTCATCAGGCCGTTCAGGGAGGTTGCCATCCACTTGTCTACTGCTGATAGCGTCTTTTCTCCCTCTTTGCCGGTAGGAGGGGTTGGTTCCCGTCTTCATACACGAAGTTGCTGGAAGAAAATGAGACCGAAGCAGTGACTGTGCCCACACCAAGGTAGCCCTGAACGTGGCTGATGTCTCCCAGTGACAGAAACCCCTGCCCTGAGGTTTCCATAACACACCACCGTCTAGCTCTGTCGCAGGCCCTGCCCTAAGCCTCAGCTCTCATGGACTAGTCAGAGATGAGACTGTGGCTCACGGTGCTGTCTGCTGTGATTTCTTTTGTCCCCGAGTTTTGCTGCCGTGAGGAGACCCAGCCCAGGCCACCTATTCCCCGCAGTCCTGCAGCCCTCTGAAACTCCCTCCCTGTCCCCCGTACCTCCTGGTCACTAAACCCAAGGCATGTGTTTTCTGTCCTTATCGTACGCTTATCTTACCGTCCTTATCTTACAGCCCTTAACGCTGTTGTGTGCTTTTTCTGGAATGTTCTCTGACCCTGGCTGCTTGACCTGTGCTCTGTTTGTCTTCTGCCTCATCAGCTCTTTGCACCCCTCTTCCGCCCATCAACTAAACATGAGTGTTCTTGGGGGTCACCCTTGGTCTGTCCTTCCTGCCTGTGCCGGGCCATCTCATCCACTCCCATGGCTTGAAATACACTGTTGGGCTTCGCTGAGCACCTCCATGCCGAAAACCCCCAAATCCGTATTCCGGATGAGATCACAACAGTAGTTACTGCCCAGAGACTGGCCAGAGGGCTTTGCATTGATTTGCTCATTTAATTCTCACAGCAGCCCCATGAGGTGGGCCCCCACTTTAAAAAATGAGGACGCTGGCTGGGCATGGTGGCTCATGCCTGTAAGCCCAGCACTTTGGGATATGGAGGCAGGAGGATTACTTGAGGCCACAAGTTCAAGACCAGCCTGCACAACGTAGCAAGACCCCCATCTCTACAAAAAAATAAATAATTAGCCAGGGCATAGTGGCCTATGCCCATTGTCCCATCTACTCTGGGGGCTGAGGTGGGAGGATAGAAATTCACGAAACCCCTATAACCCATCCGGCTAGCCAAGTAGAAGGCCTCCAGGTCTGACGTTGCAGTCCCCCAAGGTCTGATGCTGTCTGCAATCTTCATCCCTAGCAGAATAGCTAAAATGCCATTGTACTGGGGAAGAAAAACTGAGTAACATTTTTAGGATGTTAAAATTTCAAGTTTTTACTTTTTTTTTTTTTTTTTTTAAACTCAGCTCATTGCTCACTCCAGCTTTTGCTAGTCTCCAATTTCTTTCCTTAGATTAAATCAATCAAGAGCCAGCCCCTAATTTAAAAGGTTTCCTCTCCTTTTGTCTTGTCTTCTAAAGAATTTTTTGGCCAGGCGCAGGGGCTCATGCCTATAATCCCAGCACTTTGGGAGGCTGAGGCAGGCAGATCACCTGAGGTCAAGAGTTCAAGACCAGCCTGGCCAACATAATGAAACCCTGTCTCTACTAAAAAATATATTAAAAAATTAGCCGGGAATAGTGGCAGGCGCCTGTAGTCCCAGCTACTTGGGAGGCTGAGGCAGGAGAATCACTTGAACCGGGGAGGCGGATGTTGCAGTGAGCCAAGATCCCGCCACTGCACTCCACCCTAGGCAGTAAGAGTGAAACCCCGTCTCAAAAAAAAAAAAAAATTGTGAGAATATGTTTATAAACCACTAAAAACATTAGTGTTTTAGGTCGGGTGTGGTGGCTCACGCCTGTAATCCCAGCTGAGGCGGGCGGATCACTTTGAGGTCAGAAGTTCGAGACCAGCCTGGTGAATATGGTGAAACCCCGTCTCAATTAAAAATACAAAAAAATAGCTGGGCACACTGGCATGCATCTGTAATCCCAGCTACTCGGGAGGCTGAAGCAGGACAGTCACTTGGACCTGGGAGGCAGAGGTTGCAGTGAGCCGAGATCATGCCATTGCATTCCAGCCTGGGTGACAGAGTGAGACTGTTGCAAAAAAATTTAAAAATACAGTGTTTTGTATTGATATATGTACTGTGTGTGCCTGTGTGTGCGAGATCAAGATCAGGTTTTGACTGGTGACGTACCATTCCTGTTGTCCTTGGTCAAGGACACGGAGGATGTTTGGGGCTTGGTGGTGAGACATTATCTAACGTGTGCTGTGTCCTCTTTGGGTTTGAGCCCCGCGCCGGTGAGAAGCGTCAGCACCGTGAACTTGTCTGAGAACAGCAGTGTTGTCATCCCCCCACCTGACTACTTGGAATGCTTGTCCATGGGGGCAGCTGCCGACAGGAGAGCAGACGCGGCCAGAACGACCTCCACCTTTAAGGCCCCAGCGTCCAAGCCTGAGACCACAGCTCCTGTGAGTAAAGCCACAGCGGGGCGTCCTGTGTCCTGGACTCGCCATCCCAACGGGGAGGCACAGGTTGCTGTTCCTGCGGCGGTGACCGCCTTGCTCTGCTCTGCCCCTAGTGGGAGGGTGGTGTCTCCCGGGAGGAGGGAGGAGGGGCCTTGCCGCCTTTGATCCTCTAGATTCCCTTCTTTTTTTTTTGAGACGGAGTCTCGCTCTGTCGCCCAGGCTGGAGTGCAGTGGCCGGATCTCAGCTCACTGCGAGCTCCGCCTCCCGGGTTCACGCCATTCTCCTGCCTCAGCCTCCCGAGTAGCTGGGACTACAGGCGCCCGCCACCTCGCCCGGCTAGTTTTTTGTATTTTTTAGTAGAGACGGGGTTTCAGCGGGTTAGCCAGGATGGTCTCGATCTCCTGACCTCGTGATTCGCCCGCCTCGGCCTCTCAAAGTGCTGGGATTGCAGACTTGAGCCACCGTGCCCGGCCTAGATTCCCTTCTTTGTCATGCAGCCTTTCACCTCCTTGACTTCAGCCCTTCTTTCACGTGGACTCTATCTTGTCAGTGACAGTTTACATACGGTCGCCCCTAGTTCGCTAGATTTTATTAGGTTTCTTCTCTCTCCTGCCTGGCTGCAGTCTTTTAGCCATTGAATCACCATTTTCTTTCATTTTCTTATTTTCTGAAGAGAGGCTTACTTAGGTTCAAAGTGGTAACTTCATCTTTCTTCAGAAAGTCTTGACTCCCAGGCACTGCGGATGTTATCTTTAACCCTAAACCCTCTAGGCATGGGGTTTAGGGCTAAAGATAACCCTGAAAGATAACCCTAACATGCCACTGGGGGCCCAGCATGGAGGGCCTGGGCTCCCGGAGCCAATTCATCCACTCCCGCCACCGCGCATGTCTGCTGGGCACCAGGCCGTGGTGCAGGCTCTCCAGGTAGAGGAGAACAAGGCCAGACTCTGCCTCTTCGGAACTTCTGTTCTAGTGATAGGAAGCAGACAATAAAAAATCAACAACAGCATCGACACTAGAAGCCATGCAGAGAATAACACAAGTTGAGGTGATGGTGGGGTGGGGAGCAGCGCGGCTGGACGTCACTCCCGGGCTGGGTTGGCCGAGGTTAGTGCGCCCTGGCGTGAGACCTGTGGGTGAAGGGGAGGAGGCCGGGTGGTGGTGTCTGCACCCCTCGCTCCAGGAGCTGTCTTGCTTTGGCGAAAGGAGCCAGGCCCCATCCCCTGTGTCCGGGGCCTTTGTTCAGCTGTGAGTGGGGCTTAGGCGGAGTCTCTCAATGACGTGAAATGGATGCGCTTCTAAAATGCGCCTGCCCCGGACCTTCGCGTGAACCTCGAGGAGTCTGGGAACATACACCTGCCTCGTTGCAGACTACAGTGGCATGGTTTGATTTAGGAAGGCTAGCTTTTGAAACTTCATTCAGAGTGTCTTTGAGGCAGTGCAATGGCTCACGTCTGTGTAATTCCAACACTTTGGGAGGCTAAGGCGGGAGGATCACTTGAGCCCAGGAGTTTTAGCCCAACCTGGGCAACATAGCAAAACCCTATATATACAAAAAATATAAAAATTAGCCAGGTACTGTGGCACATGTCTGTAATCCCAGCTGTTCAGGAGGCTCTGATGGGAGGATCGCTTGAACCCAGAAGTTCGAGGCTGCTGTGAACCGTGATCATACCACTGTATGCCAGCCTGGGTGACAGAGACCCTGTCTCAAAAAAAGCAAAGAAAAATGGTTGACAGGGTAGTTGTTTGAATCTGGACCCAAGCCAGCTACATACATTGTAATTGGTGGACAGGTCTCGTGAGGCCTTTTCTGACTGCAGATCTCCCCTCTGCCTCTTGTCCTTAGCAGTCTCTTTGTAGAAGAACCAGTCATTTGTCCTGGAGGGGTCCGCCATCTGGGTTTTGCTGATGGCGTCCTTTCTGCGTTCCCCCATGTCTCCTGTGTTTCTGTAAACTGGTAGTTAGACCTCAGGCCCTGCTCAGAGTCCGTTGCTGTTTTGCTGGTTTGCCTGTTGTGTTTTGCTGGAGCATTTCACCAGTGAGGAGGCACATGTGCGTGTCTGTCTCTTTTTGTGATGTTAGTGGCTGTTGATGTTTGCCTAGCCTGCTGCTTTATTAAGGCTGGATAATGCCTTTTAAGGTAAAAGAATCTTGCCCCCAAAAATCACAGCTCTGGCATTGTAAGTGAGAACACTGACACTTTAGCCAACCCTGGAGAGTCTCCAGTGTTAGAAAACGAAAACGTGCCACTGTCAGTGTATTTATCGTGTGGATAAAGCCTGGTGAAGAAAGCACTGTGGCCGCCATTCTCACTGCAGGGAATTGGATAAATGGGAGAAGCCTGGTTGTAAGTATCAGTGTTCTCAGTAATGACAGATTCTTCCTTACTTAGCATTGGGGAGTGAAAAGGTGACCTGGCTTCATTCTTAAACCTCTTCGTTGGCAGGATCGTGACATCCTGTCAGTGTCGGGAGGCTGCCAGCAATCTGAGGATTGTGCACGGTGTGCGCCTCTTACCGGCTTCCCACTTCCTCGGGCAGCAGAGCTTGAAGCACACCACTGTCCCCGAGGGCCCTGACCCGGAGGGCTGGGCTGGGCAGGGGCTGCCCGCAGGGGGGTGACCTGGTACCCTGTAGCCTCCACCAGCGCAGCTGGCCCATGTGGACACCACTGCCACCCTTCCCGCCTGAGCTGGTATTCTCAGCTCACACCCGTGAGCTTCAGCCTGTCCCCTCCACGGGAGAGATTCCCGGTCATCCTGTCCCCGGCTGCCTCCACGGGCTGTACCTGCCAAAGCTCACTTCCCACAGACCACCCTCCCTCCAGCCCCCACCACACGGACACACACACACATGCGTGCACACGCACACCATCACCTTCCGGCCCCCTTTCTGTCTCGAAAGCTAGTAGGCTTTCAGGCTTTCAGTTTAGCAGCCTTTCATTTCTGGTTTCATCCAAAAGCCCCAAATACCTCATGAGAATGCCCTCCTTACGCAGATTCTGATGATTTCAGTTGTCATTGATTCTGCACGTGTTTGAGGACTGACTGCTGATTAACTTCATGATCACTGAAATCACAGAGAAGGCCTGTCCTGCACAGGGGTGGAGGTGACGCCCACAGGGAGGTCATGTTTATCACTGATGAGATTCCCTGGGCAGCAGACTTCTGTCAACACAGTCACATGGCAGTGAGGGGATGGCCGTGGGGGAGGGGTTTTGTAGACAGAGATGAGACTGTCCCAACAGCACTCATCCAGCCGGCCTCTACTGGGCGGCCTAGAGCCAGGCCCTCAGGACACAAAGAGGAATGAGACCCACCCAGGGGTGGAGTCCAGGGAGCGCTGGATGCATGGGGTGAGGACAAGGGGACAGGCCGGGGTTCCTGGGACACATCAGGGGAGGCTTCTAGGAGGAAAAGCGTTGGAGCCAGGCTCTGAGGCATGAGCTTCGGCATTGCGGTGACTAGGGGGCTCGAGAGCTGGGGTCAGGCAGCAGCTGGAGAGGCAAGATGAGCCCCCACACTGCCGTCTGGCTTCTGGCTGGGCTGCGAGGGGAGTGGCGCCGCCGACCCGTGGTGCCTTCACACCCTTCGCACCTCATGGTGCTTCCTGAGCGGTGCCTGTGCTGGGACCTCCTGGGAGGTAGCGGGATCGCGGGGCCTCGTGAAATGGACAAAGGGAAGCACAGAAGAATGGCAGCTGCTGTCCAAGGCAGGTTAGAAACCCAATTCTGAAATCTCAGCCAGCAGCTTCTTGGCCTCCACATCAGTACGCTTTCCCGATAAGACACGCCGTGGTCATCTGCCTGCTGTTATTTTGACATCCTGTGCAGACTGCAAAAGCATTGCGGGGAGGGACCACAACTGTCAGCCACATCCAGCCTCCGTGGACAGCGCTCCTTCTGTTAGACAAGTGACCACGTTTCATCCAGACTGACCCCAGTCAGGAGTTGCGGGAGCACAGCTGTGGGAAACAGCCTGCAGACGCGTCAGTGCTGCTCCAAGGGCGGGAGCGGGGAGCAGGGGAATGGCCGTGTGTTCTGGGCCTCCTGGCCTCGCAGCCTCCCGCACCTGCAGGCAGCACGGATCAAGCATCTGTGTCAGGCACGAGCAGCGCAGACGTAAATGCTCCCTGGCCAGTCCATCAGCCACAGGGCACACAGGGAAGCGGAGTGCTTGAAAAACGGACGGTGCAACAAACGGACTAGAGGTTTACATTCATTGATTCATTCATTTATTTATGAGACGGAGTCTTGCTCTGTCCCCCAGGCTGGAGTGCAGTGGCGTGATCTCGGTTCACGGCAACCTCCACTTCCCAGGTTCAAGCGATTCTCCTGCCTCAGCTTCCCAAGTAGCTGGGATTACAGGTGCCTGCCAGCTAATTTTTGTATTTTTAGTAGAGATGGGGTTTCACCATGTTAAACAGGCTGGTCTCAAACTCCTTATCTCAGGCGATCCTCTCGCCTCAGCCTCCCAAAGTGCTGGGATTGTAGGTGTGAGCCACCGTGCCCAGCAAATTTTAATTAATTTAAGTCGCCATATACAGGTAGTGGCTGCCACATTGGACAGTTAGGAATAGATCATACAAAACAGGACAGTGCTCCATTTAAAAACTTGCTGTAGCTGGGCATGGTGGCTTACGCCTGTGATCCCTGCTACTTGGAAGGCTGAGGTGGTAGAATCACTTGAGCCCAGGAACTCAAGCCCAGCCCAGGTGACAGAGAACCCATCTCTCTCTCTATATATATACGATTGCAGCCTGCCGGGTGCGGCGGCTCACACCTGTAATCCCAGCACTGTGGGAGGCCGAGGCGGGAGGATCATTTGCACCATGGAGTTCAAGATCAGCCTGGGCAACCTAGTGGGACTTCATCTATATAGAAAATTAACTAAAAATCCCAGAATTTTGGGAGGCCGAGGCAGGTGGATCACCCGACATCAAGAGTTTGCGACCAGCCTGGCCAACATGGTGAAACCCTGTCTACTAAAAATACAAAAAAAATTAGCTGGGCGTGGTGATGGGCACCTGTAATCCCAGCTACTCAGGAGGCTGAGGCAGGAGAATCACTTCAACCTAGGAGGCAGAGGTTGCAGTGAGCTGAGATCACGCCACTGGACTCCAGCCTGGGCAGCAAGAGGAAAACTCCATCTCAAAAAAAAAAAAAAAAAAAGAAAGTTAACTAAAAAGCCAGGCGTGGTGGCATATACCTGTAGAGTCTGCTCAGGAGCCTGAGGCGAGAGGATCGATTGAGCCCAGGAGGTCGAGGCTGCAGTGAGCTGTGATTGTGCTACTGCACTGCAGCCTGGGTGACAGAGCAAGACCTGTCTCAAAAAAAAAAAAAATGGCAGCCTTTGCCACCTGAAAGCCCCGGGGGACTCTGGCACCCTTGAGGGCCGGGAACACAGTCCTGGAATTAGGCGTCTCAGCATTTTTATGTCCACCTGGATTCACTTAGCCTTCCCCTAACCAAAATGCCTGAACCAGCTGATGACGTGGGAGAAGCTGTGTTATAGCCCAGGCCAAACACTGGGATCCGTGAGAGCTGGGAAAGCATCCTCATGCTTTTTAAAAGCGTTTCTCTATGTAGTTTTACATCCAGCCACTGTGAGTTACAGGTCGTTTACCACTGGAACGCTTAGGCTTAGGTGTACGGGGCGCCATCCTCCACAGAGCAGCCCACTCACCTGGGAAGCCCCACAGCTGTCCTGATGACGGCGTGTCTTGGACGATCTGAGAGCAGGGGCTTCTCCCCAGGCGGCAAGGGAGACTTGCTAGGACTCGAGCTGAGGGCTTGCCACAGGTCACGTGATATCTCTTTAAGTTTTCTTAATAATGATAAGATCTCGTTATGTTGCCCAGGCTGGTCTTGAACTCCTGACCTCGGGCAGTCCTCCTGCCTCGGCGTCCCAAGGTGCTGGGATTACAGGCGTGAGCCACTGTGCCCGGCCCAAGTTTTTTTAATTTACGTATTTTTCTACTGCAGTTCCAAGTGAGGAAGTACTGGCTCCCTCCCAGTACGTTTTTAAATAAGCACACAGCTCTCCTTTTGAAAATCAAGCCTGCATTTCACAGCGTGCGTTCACCATGGCGTGAGCCCCTCCTGAGAGCAGCCGGTGCCCTCGTGCAGGCCTGCACGCATCTTCGTTTGCATCACAACATGGGCACCTCGGCTTCCAAAAAGATCCCGGTGACTCAGAGCGGTTGGCTTTTCCCCGTCGGGGCCTCAGCGTCCCCATTTTGAGAATAAAGGGGTTGAACTAGATGCGAAGTGAACTGGAAGACAAGTCTGGACCACAGGACAGGAATGGGTGTTCACACTGAAGACAGGTGTCAGCGAGGGCCACTTTTGTTGCAAGTAACTGGCCTCCAGCTGGCTTGGAAATGTTCCTTAGGGATACTCCGTTCTGCTCAGGAGCAAGGCCACCCTGCGCTGGCCCGGATCACTCTGTCCTGCCCTCTGCAGTGAGGGCCACCAGCATTCTCTGCTGCGGCCCGAGGAAAAAGCGGTGCTGGGTGCTCTGAGCTGCCCGGGACCCCTCTGAAAGCTGGATCAACTAGTCCCCCACCCTGGGCACACGGCTATGTGGTGGGCACCCCGGAAGCTCCATACAGTCAGGAAGGGGGTGTGGAACAGGCATCGGGTGACGGGCAGTCAGCCAGTGTCCACACACAGATTTTGGATTCCTGGGGTAGATGGGGGATCACAAGATGTGGCCACCCTGGCCGCAGTCAGCCGCTTGGTGGCTTCGCTGTATAGTCTCCAGTTGCAGCCCAACCCACTCTCGTAGTGGCCACTGGTTTCGTGGCCTTCGTGGTCTCCTGTCTTGCTGGGGACACAGGACATGCAGCAGGCAGTACCCGCGGGGCCCTGGGTGCCGGCGGCAGTGCTGCCTCTGGCTGGGAGGTGTCCCCCACTGCAAGGAAAGGGAACAGCGAGGAGGCAGGTCTAGCTTCAGTGACCACCACAGTGGGCCGAGTGTGTGCGGTTGGGACAGGGACGCAGGGAGGATGCTGTGAGACCCTTGGAGGCCACCAGATAAGAGGCACCGTATGTGCCAAGCCCCTGCCCTTGTGGATCTGCTTTGCCCTGGAGAGGGAGGCAGAGAGGCTCCTGCCAGTCCTGTATCCAGAGGGAGTGCTGAGGTTTCAGGTCCCCTAAGGAACATGTAGATGTTAAACGGGAAATCTGCCTGAACACGTCCACTATGTTTTTGTTGTTGTTTTTGTTTTGTTGTTTTGTTGTTTCGTTGGGTTTTGTTTGTTTTGAGACGGAGTCTCGCTTTTGCCCAGGCTGGAGTGCAGTGGTGCAATCTCAGCTCATCGCAACCTCTGCCTCCCGGTTCAAGTGATTCTCCTGCCTTAGCCTCCTGAGTAGCTGGGACTACAGGCATGAGCCACTATGCCCAGCTAATTTTGTATTTTTAGTAGAGACAGGGTTTCTCCATATTGGTCAGGCTGGTCTCGAACTCTCGACCTCAGATGACCCACCCACCTCAGCCTCCCAAAGTGCTGGGATTACAGGCATGAGTCACTGTCCCTGGCCCAATACGTATTTTAAAATGAACATCGTATTACAGAATACCACAGACAGAAAAGCACACGATGAATTTTCATGATGTGACTCCGTGTACCCAGCAGGATGTTCCTGGCTCCCAGGATCACCCGGCGTGGCCCATCTCCGTGACCATCCCTTCTCTAACACCAGACCCCTCAAACCCTGGCACAGAGATGGCCATCTGGGGTGGCCCCGTAGGGACAGCTGCTCAGCGCTGTGCGGTGACCCGCTGTCTGCACAGAAGCTGGTTCTGGCTCTCTCATTGATGGGCGTCTGGTGTTTCCGGTCTGGGCTGTTTCCCCAGCGCTGCCCGAGTGTCTCGGTGCCCATGGGTGTGTGCCCTACCTGTTCCTCCAGGGAGCAGGATTGCTGGGCCTCAGGCGTGTGTGCACGGGGTTGGCCTGACACTGAGTGGCTTCAAGCTGTCATCTGAAGCGTTCTTTTTCCTCCTCAGTCCTCCTGGCAGGAGTTGGTGCTGCTTGCTGTGTTCCTTGTGAGGATTCACCGGGGCGCCTTTAAAGTCCCGTGGGGGCCCAGGAGGCTCTGAACAAGCTCCGGGGTGTGCGTGGGGTGGGCGGAGGGGTTTCTGGTTTCCAGTTTGGGAAGCGCCTTCCCCTAGCGTAAGCTGCACAGGGAGTCGCTGTTGGCCCCAAGGAGTCAGAGGACTCCGGTGGGAGAGGAGGGGAGGGCGGAGTGGAGTCAGGCTTGGCCCGAAGCGTGCCTCAGGCCCAGCCACGGCCCGGCCGCCTGCCCTCTGGGCCACAGGAGGCCTTTCTGCAGCAGGATCCACGAATGCCAGCACCATGAGCACACGCGACAGGCACCCTGGTGCATTTAAGTCATAAATGAGCCCATCTTCAGCGCAGAGCACGAACCTCACACCGGCAAGGACTTCCTCCGAGGCCTGCTAGGGAAGCGCTGTGTGCCCTGCAGGGAGAAGTCACTTCCGCAGCCATTTAAAGCCCTGTAAGATGTGCGAGGCAGGGCAGTGGCCTTGTGCTCCAGTGACGAAAAGCAGACACTGAATTGGTCCCAGCTGCCCTGCCCAGGGGGTCTAGGGAGGGTGGGGTAGGTCTCAGGCCACAGCCCTGGGGCTTCCAACCTGCCTTCCGTGTCCACAGTCTGTACACCCAGCATGCAGTGGAGGCCTGGCCTGGGCCTCCCTAAGTCAATCTCGAGAGGTCTGCGTGCTCCCTGAGACCCCCGGGGGTGCCGGGACGCTTCCTGGGGCTGTCAGGAGGGTGTGGCTGGGCCGCAGGCTGGTTACACAGTGTTACACTGCCCTCTCCTGGGCGGCTGCCTGACTCCGTTCCCTGTGTGCGGGCTGGAAAGATTGTTAAACCCTGCAGGCTTTTTGGAGTGAGGCAAAGGCGGCGGCACACACCTGGCCCTGGCCCGCACTGGGTGGCAGGTGCTGGAAGGAGGTGCTGCCGACCCCGAGCCCTGCAGGCACCTTTGAACTTTGGTTCCACCTTCTCTTTTCCTCAGTTTTTCAGCTTCCTACAAGATCCCTGGCTCTAGCAGCCCCAAAGCCAATGGGGTTTTATTTTTACTTCCTGTTTCTTCGTGTCATGCTTCAGGAGTCAGCTCCCGAAAAGCACACCCCAGTCACTAGATTTGCGCTCAAAAGACCGTGGCTGAGGACCTGCAGGATCTGTTTCCCCCGAGTCAGAGAGGATCTGTTTGGCACAAATGTTTTCTTCTGTGATGTCGCTGTTGCTCAAGCTTCATTCTGTGAAACTGTTTCCGAGTTTAGCAGACGGCTCCACATCACGGGTGACCCGCGCAGGCAGTGTCATGCTCTGTCCACGCTCTGACACCTGGGAGGGCCGTTACCGCCTTTCAGAGCGTTTTCTGTTCTTGCCTTATTCTTCCAAGTGAATTTAGACAGTCTCACAGATTGGGACAGGGCACTTTTAAACATCCCTTATGTTTTAGATGTCTTTACCTTCAGGTCTTATTAAAAATCTCCAACACAAGCCGGTCGCAGTGGCTCACACCTGTAGTCCCAGCACATTAGGAGGCCAAGGTGGAAGGATCACTTGAGCTCAGGAGTTCGAGACCAGCCTGGGCAACATAGCAAGTCCCCATTTCTACCTAAAATAATTGTTAAAAGACCAATTCCAAGCCCTCCATAAACCTCTTTATCTTTCTCACAGAACGATGCCAACGGGACTGCGAAGCCGCCTTTTCTCAGGTAGGTGTGGCTTCCTGCGTGAGCCTCAGCATGTGACATTGCTCTTCCCCACGGTGTCCCCAGAAGGGCCTTCGGTGCCGTGCCCAGGAGGCCCAGCCTGAGAAAGGCCTCGGCCTGTGGAGCCATGGGGGAACTGCGGCCCCCTGCTCCCTTTACCACCTGCTTTAGACCACCCTGGGAGCAGGGCCTGCCACCCCAGAGCGGCCCCCATATCACGTGCAATGCAGGACTAAAGAGGTGTGGGTGTCCACGTCCAGAACGTTTAAAACCTGGGATCGTTCTGCAGCGGGTGGTACGGTGTACGACTGAACAAAACTTCCACACTCAGAAATCGCTGCTGGGACCTGTGCAAGCTGGTGAGGTAGTCAGCCGCAGGCTCACAGGGCAAGAATGGGTTATTAGCGCTGTTAAAATCCAGTTTCCCTCATGGAGTGGAAGTTCTGAAAGGTTCTTCTTATCCCCTGCAGCGGAGAAAACCCCTTTGCCACTGTGAAACTCCGCCCCACCGTGACGAACGATCGCTCGGCACCCATCATTCGATGAGAAGACGGCCAAGGACTCTCCCGGGCCTCTCCGGTTCTCCCTCGCGGAATGATGGGCACGTCCTAACTCTAATGCCGCCTGCCTAAGCAAAGCACGCTTCCCTGTTTCACGTAGTTGGGTTGACACGTTTCTGCCTTTAAGATAAATGAGTAATAGTCTAATGACCAACTCAGTCATTTAAAATATCTTCTTCCTATTCTGTTCAAGAAACAGTAAAACTTGGTTTCAATCTTTACTGTATTTTTTTAAATGAATTTTTTTTCCTTAACAGCCAGAATAAGGGATAGTATACGCTTTCATGACTGGCTTTCTGCACCTGATGTCAATGAGACCCATTTTATTTTATAAGCACGTGCTCTTAGTAGCATTATGTCTAAAGAAAATATCACGGAAGTTTGCATCTTAGCATGCAAATCATAATTTTAAGCAATATAAATTATGAAAATACTATATGAATGTAACTTTTTAACTTAAAATGTTTAATCAAAGTGTAGAGCTTCCAGAGATGGAGAAACCCCTGCCCTCTGTCCGACTGCACCAGAGCTGTAAGTGCTAAGACGCTTTGCCTGCCCTTATCACAGCCACATGTAGCACTTGACGAAATCCCTTCCGAGAGCTCCTTTTCTCGGTAGTTAGGAGTCACTGACTGGATTCGCTGCACACAGCCCATCCAGGACACAGGCCTGGGCGGCGGAGTCATGGCTCCTTGTGTTCTCACTCTGCTAGCTGGCCAAAGCTGCATCCATTACCAATACACTCAAACTTCTCGGGGTCCCGGTTTCTCCGTGTTTGAATCGGGTACAGACTCTCAAGGATACGTGTAAAGCCAGGATGACCTCTGGTGCCTGGAGAGGGCGGGTTTTTCAGCCTAGCAGCCATGATGCCCTCAGAACCTGAACCTGTGGTACAGATGTGAGGACTGCGCACTGGCTGCCCTAAGGCCGGGGCTGGAATTCACCTCTGACTGCCAAAGATCTGGATCCAATTCCCAGCCCGGCCCAGGTATGGGGGAATCCCAGAATTTTGTGAGACTGAGGCAGGCACGTCACCTGAGGTCAGGAGTCGCTACTAAAAATACAAAAATTAAGACAGGCGTGGTGGTGTGTGCCTGTGATCCCAGCCACTCGGGAGGCTGAGGCAGGAGAATCGCTTGAACCCGGGAGGCAGAGGTTGCAGTCAGCCAGATCATGCCGCTGCCCTGCAGCCTGGGTGACAGATTTCCAGCCCAGCCGCTGTGTGTGTTGTGGGGTGCTGGGGCTGTGGCTTATCACCTCTCCTTTGGCCTTGCCTTAAGTGTACTACTTTCCTGTGAGGCTGAGACTGGGAGAGGTTACATGCAGGTAAGCCAGTGGACGTGGGCGATGCTTCAGGCTCCTTCCAGCCAGGTCCAGCAGCATCACCATCTGCTTCTGCTGGGAGGACAAACCAGACGCGCCCCCCACCCAGCCCCCAGGAGGGGCTGCAGGCACCATGAACTATATGTTAATGCCCCCAGTCTGTCCTACAGAAGGGCCTGCAGCCACGTGAGAATTCAGTCCACGCAAACCCCGTGGCCGTGTTCTCCACTTCACACGTCAGAGGCAGGGCTCAGCCCCATCTGGTGCCATGGGTGACACCTGGCCTTTGGCGTTCCCCCTTCGGGATGGTTCTGGTTTTGTTATGGGGTTGAAGACTAGGACCTGGGGGTCTCAGATGCAACCTGCAGGCCCCAGGTTCCACCTCCCAGACCAGAACGGGGGGATGACCTTGTCCTTGGCACCGAGGTGCCTATTCTGTAAATGTCAAGGGATTATAATTGTAATAATAAAGAACTTGGAAACAAGCATATCATCTTGAGCTGTAAGCGCCTGCTGACTACAAGGTGGTCAGGCCTGGCCTGGGGAGCGCCGAGGCAGCAATGGGGGCGTCGTTCCGGTCTCTCCTGGGTGTCTGAAAGCACCGAGTAAGCAGCACCAGGCCAACAATGGTATGAATCTCATTTATTGAAAACATTATTTCTCACCTTTCTCAAATTGAAGACTGCAGAAAATAAAAGCAGTGCTTTATTGAGTTGTCATGAGCCTCGGGTGGGAGCAGCAGCACTGCCGCTCCACGCTCCGGGAACCGTAGCTGGCGTGTGCCACATCTGTCCCACCTCGCTTTACAAAACAGTTCTGAAGCTTAATCAAATACAACTATTGTACACAACATTTACATTAGAAAAAGAGCTGGGGTAGGAGAGCCGGGCCTGCTGCTCCTTTAAGCGAAGGTGGCTCCGCAGTTGGGGCATCTTCGCTTCCTCAAGGCAAAACAGCAGATGAACCCAAAGGGGAACAGGATGATGGCCAGGAAGATGCCCAGGAAGGTGAAGCAGTCCTCCAGCACCCCGACCCTGCGGCAGAGACGGGCAGAGAGGGCAGCACCGTTAGGACCCGGGCAGCCAGAACCCTCACCCCTCCCACTCAACCAACCAATGGCCATGACTGACATGAGGACCTCCGGTGAGGGACAGTGACAATCCGCCTGAGAAAACAGCCCCCCACCGCCCAGTGGCCCGGAGAGCCCCAAGAACCATCTGCATGTGCCAGTTCATAGAATGGCCAGAGCTGCTATTTAATCACTAACATTCAAAGGGGAAAAATAAAACAGTTGAAAAGTCTTATCAGTTAACCTTGAAAGGCAAGGCTGGGTGCATGGTGGCTCCTGCCTGTAATCCCAGCACTCTGGGAGGCAGAGGCGGGTGGATCACCTGAGTTCAGGAGTTCAAGACCAGCCTGGCCAACATGGTGAAACCCTGTCTCTACTATACAAAAATTTGCCAGGCGTGGTGGTGGCACGTGCCTGTAGTCCCGGCTACTTGGGAGGCTGAGACAAGAGAATCGCTTGAATCCAGGAGGCAGAGGTTGCAGTGAGCCGAGATAGAGCCACTGCACTCCAGACTAGGTGACACAGCGAGACTCCATCTCAAAAAGTAAAACCTTGAGAGGCAAGATCATTTTGGTGCCACAAGCCACACATATCTGCTCTTAGAAAAGGAGCAACCAGAGGCTGGGCGCAGTGGCTCACACCTGTAATCCCAGCACTTTGGGAGGCCGAGGCAGGTGGATCACGAGGTCAGGAGATCAAGACCATCCTAACACAGTGAAACCCCGTCTCTACTAAAAATACAAAAATTAAGCCAGGCGCGGTGGCTCAAGCCTGTAATCCCAGCACTTTGGGAGGCCAAGACGGGCAGATCACGAGGTCAGGAGATCGAGACCATCCTGGCGAACACGGTGAAACCCCGTCTCTACTAAAAAAAAAACTAGCCGGGCGAGGTGCGGGGTGCCTGTAGTCCCAGCTACTGGGGAAGCTGAGGCAGGAGGATGGCATAAACCCGGGAGGCAGAGCTTGCAGTGAGCTGAGATCTGGCCACTGCACTCCAGCCTGGGCAACAGAGCGAGACTCTGTCTCAAAAAAAAAAAAAAAAAAAAAAAATTAGGCATTGGGGCGGGCGCCTATAGTCCCAGCTACTCGGGAGGCTGAGGCAGGAGAATGACATGAACCCGGGAGGTGGAGCTTGCAGTGAGCTGACATCGCGCCACTGCACTCCAGCCTGGGCAACAGAGCAAGACTCCGTCTCAAAACAAAAAAAAAAAAAGAAAAGGAGCAACCAGCAAGAGCTTAGTGGTCCCGTCAGTATTTGGGCTTTTGTTAGATTTGTTCCTTTGGTAGTGGGGGTGGGTTAATGGGAGACTGCAGTCAGCCATGTTCACACAATGTCTGAAGGCCACGTATTTCTCAAAATGTGATCTCAAAGCCTCTTCAACAAAGTTCAATGTAACAGACTAAGACACCTGAAGGCCATCCCACAAATCCTGCGCCAGTGAGCATAGGTTCAGTGACCTGAAATCATCGAACCCAAGTGTCAGTTTCAGAGGCCCTAAAAGTAGGAAGCCAGGAGCCGAGTGCTCAGCTCAGCTCCTTAGGCTATTTCTGGAAAGTTCTGGACACAGCTGACATTAACCACACTAGCCAGCTCAGCACAAATGAGAAAAGCTTTGCTCCCCCACCAGACAAGCAGCCCCCTATGGGCTCCTTCTGGTCCTCCTGGGGGCCCAAACCCCCCCATCCAGCCGGTACTGAAGTAAGTGGAGAGAGAACACAACAGGGTGGGGGTGTCTGACAGGCGATGGGAGCTGGTGCTTAGTGGGGAAGGGGAGCCTACAACAAGGCGGTGTGGTCACCTGCCTGCAACAGGGAAGCGTGACTACCTGTGCCTTGCTAAGGGGGAAAAACTTGGCCACCTGGGGAACCCTACTCCCATCCCAGCACCCTGCATGTTTCCAAGCTGCTTTCTGGGAGTTTGGACTCATGAGGGCCACTGCCCCCACCACTGCTAGGCAAGGCAGGCTAGGGAGCCCAAACCCCACCCACAGAACCTATTCCCTGCTTCTCCAGGGATTATGGAAAATAAACCAGAATATTCTGAAGTCGGGCTTTCCACTGCTGAAAGAAAAATTTGCCAGGCGTGGTGGTTCATGCCTGTCATCCCAACACTTTGGGAGGCCGAGGCAGGCAGATCACCTGAGGTCAGGAGTTCGAGACCAGCCTGGTCAACATGGTGAAACCGCGTTTCTACTAAAAATACAAAAATTAGCCAGGCGTAGTGGCGGGCACCTGTAATCCCAGCTACTCAGGAGGCTGAGACAGAATTGCTTGAACCCAGGAGGCGGAGGTTGCAGTGAGCTGAGATGGCGCCATTGCACTCCAGCCTGTGCAACAAGAGCAAAACTGTCTCAAAAAAAAAAAAAGAAAGAAAAAGAAAAACACTTCATGCCCACCTGCCTCCCTCCAGCCTCCTCAGGGAGGTCCCTTCAGCCATCTCCAATGGAGCTGGACACAGTGGCTCACGCCTGCAACTGCAGCACTTTGGGAGGCAGAGGCAGATCACTTAAAGCCAGCAGTTCAAAACCAGCCTGGGCAACAAAGTAAAACCCCCTGCAACACCTCTACAACAATTTAAACTTAGCCAGACACGGTGGTACACATTTGGAAAAGGGGAACCATTCAGCTGGTTTGGGGAAACTTTTCTCCTCAAGTCCCTATGTCCATTCGTTCTCAAAAGGCTCTGAGCAGTCCTGCGGCCGGCCCTCTTGTACCCAGTGTTTCCCAGACTCACACAGCGCCACCTGTCTGTGTGGAGGGGCGGAGCCGGGCTGCAGAGCACACCGTGAAGCTCCAAGGCAAAGCCAAGCCAAAGACCGGAGCCTGTCAGCAAAGTTTCTACTTCCTGCGTGGACTTTTACAAAAGTGTCCCCTGTCTAAGCACCACAAGGTCGCCAGGCCACCACACTTGTTCAGCCTTGCCCAGGGCTGCCCCTGCCAGTCCAGACTGGGCAGGACACCTCCGCCCAGCCCTGCCGAGTGCAGCATGCCCTGCTTGGCTCCAGGACCTTCTCCCCGGGGTGTCGGGTGGGCAGAAGCCGCAGGTGCCACAGCTCCCAAGACCACACAGTCGAGGTGGGGGAGCCCCGGGAAGGTCGAGCACCAGCTGTGTCCCCACAGATGGCCATGACAGGCTCCGGGCTAACTGGAGGGAGCGTCTGGGCTTCCTTTCCCGTTTCCTCCACGGCATCTACGGTCAAATCCCAGGAAACACACTGGCTGTATGTTCTGGTTAGAAACTGTCCCATGAAAAAGCAGACAGGGAGGGTGAACCAGCTGAGAAATCCTTCCAGGGAAGAAGCCTGCCCCCTGGAGTGGTCCCCAGTGCCACCAGGCCCCCCTCAGCCGGCCCAATCAGTGACCATCTGAGCACCTCGCCTCAGGACCAAAGCTGCTGAGACGAAGGGCTGCGGGCAGAGGTGCCTGGGAGGAGGCTGGGCAAAGGGGTGTGGGTGGGGAGCCCGGCTGGAGCCTGCCCATGGGGCACAGCAGAGACGTCCAGGTACAATGGTGCAATGGGCAGGGGTGGGGCTTCAGTGCTGCCTGGTGGCCCCGCCCACACCAGCTTCCCACCTGCAGCTGCTGCTTTCACCAAGTCCAAGGGCAGCAGCGCCCTCCTGCTTCCTAATTCTCCATCCAGACCCCAAAACCCACCTACTCCGTCAGAGCTGAGAAGTGCAGGAAGGCTGCTCACTCACGCTGGATTCCCACTGCCACGGGCCAGGGCACCGGCCCACCTGAGCGCCAGGATTTCCAGCAGCGCCAGTCCAGCCCACCCAGGCCCCGGCGCCTCACTTCTCAGCACCTCGATTCCCAGTCCCGGGGCTGCAAGCAGTGCCATGGGCCAAACCAAATGCACTGACCCCATGGCCTCCCAGGCACAGGGAAACACCCTCCTCCTTCCAACCCACAGAGCTTCCGTCCAGACCCATCCTGTCCTCAGCCAGAGCACAGGGCCGGTCCGTTTGTGCCACCCTGGGCTGAGCCCCTCAGTCCGGGGACCCACTCTGGCACCTCCTAGGGCAGCCGCCCCATCCCTGGTCCATTCAACCCCCACCCTCCTGCCCACCTCCACGCCACTTAAAGAGAGGGCAGGAGGGCCAAGGCCCCTGGGTCTCTGGGGAGAGTGAGCCTGTTTCCCTGCAGTGCCACCCGGGAACTGGACAGATCCAGCCGCCCCAGGAGGCTCAGGCCTCCGCCAGCAACAGGAGGCTGTGATCCAGGCCTGAGAACCCTGAACGGGCTTCGAAGGCCCGAGGGCTGGCCAGGAGCATTCGGCCCTCACCTCTGGCTCTGGGGTCAGCTGGAAGGTGGGCGGCATACCCTACCCCCCAGGATTCCACAGCCACACCCACAACTTCAAACACCAAGAAGCGCTGAAGGCAGAACTGGCTGTCACTTGACAGCAAACTCACCTGGCAGCAACATGTGACCTGAACTGGTGTGTGGCTATTTATAGTCGTAATTTATCCTAGTTTATCTGAATATTCATGTCTTACTGCAGAAATATTAATGTTTTAACTGCAGTACTGCCCTAGACCTCAAAAGGAGTGTTGGCATCATGTGCTTTTTAAAACCCCAAATCTTCTGAACTGAGAAACACGATCCAACTTCTAGACCAAGACTCCCCAAGCTGCAGGGCCAGCACTGGAGGGGAGAAGGGGAACCCCTGCCCCGGAACAGCTGCCATCCCCGTCAGCCTGTCCGTCCCCACAGCCTCCGGTTCTCCCTTCCAAACCCAGAAGAGCCCACCTGGGTTGGTGGGGTGGGTTTCAACCTTCTCAACCGCTCGGGTCCTGACCAGCTCCCTCTAGCCGCCCCTCCCCCACTATTGCGCAATAGGCCACGCGGCCAGGGAGGGATCATGGCCACTGGCGAAATTAGGGAACTGACTAATTCCAAGAGCACTCCCTTAAGTCGACTCCAGCCCTGCAGTGAAGGTGGCCAGTCATGCCACTGTCATCCACCCGGAGCTGGGCCCTGGGGCAGTGGAGGCCACAGGGCTCCCGCCTCACCAGGGACAGAAGGGGCTGGCAGCAGGGCTCTGAGCTGCCCAGGGAAAGGGCCATCCTCACCCTTCCTGTGTCCCCACAGGCACTTTACAGGAGCCTGAAGCCCAGGGTGTGTCCAGGGCCTCCCAGCCGGGAAGGGCATGGCTGGGATCTGAACCCGGATGGGCTCACAGGAGGCTAAAAACTGGGGTGTGTCCCAGGCCTCCCAGCAGGGAAGGGCGTGGCTGGGATCTGAACCCAGATGGGCTCCCCAGTCACAAGCACCCATCCTGCAGGCCCGTTCTCCCTCCAAGGCAGCCCCCAAAGGCCGTCAGTGTCACAGGGGCTGCCCCAGGGCACCCAGCTGCCCTCTGTGCACACACAGTGGCCTCGAGGCACCATCCACGCCCAGGAACAACCCCAGACCACCACACCTCGCTGGAAGGTCGAGCCTCGCCAGGAAAAGGGGAGACACAGGGCTTCCTCAGAGGGCTGCGCGCCTGAAGCCATGCTCAGCACAGGGCGAGGTGGCCCCAAAGCAGCTCCAGCCAGCTTCTGGCTGCCCCAGGGTACCCACTCCCCACGGGGGCGGGGGAGCTGCCTCGCTTAGGGACAGTTCACCAGGACCTCCCAGGGCCATTCCCAGCAAACCCAATGGCCAGGGCCAGTCCCAGCCTCTCCTGTGGAAGAAAGGCCTGAGACGCTGCCTGCCACCACACCCACCCCAGCAGTGCCACTTGGCCCGCAGCTGGGGGCAGAGCCCAAGGTCAGAAACTCAGGAGGCCACTGAGGCAGCACTCGGACCCTGAGGTCCACAACCCTGCCCAGCAAACAGCCTAGGCCCAAGCTCCAGCCCATCCGCTGCCCCCACACCTCAGGCCAAGACTGTCAGGACAGGGACAGCCCATAGGCCATGCACATGGGTAGGGCCATCCCAGCTAACTCAGCCACTTCCTCAACCAGCGGAGCGCTGGCTTCCAGGTCACAGGCGGTAGGAGGGACCAGCCCCTCCACCACCATCATCTGGAAGCCCAAGGATGTCACAGGCTCCTTCCCCTCCAGCCCTTCCCAGGCTCCACAGTCACCCCGTTCCCTCCACAGCCCACCTCTGCCCCTCAAGGGCAGTGGCAACCTCCATGCTGGCTACTGAGCCGAACCCTGGACCTCTGAGCAACATCCGCCCTCCACAGCTTTTCGTTTCACCTTCTCTGGGAAAGGCGAAATCCTTCTCAGGACTTCCTCTCTGGTCACCCCCAAAACTAAACACCCAATGACAGCCCAGCCATACTCATGGGGGACTGGTGCAGGCCAGGCCCTGTGTTGCCAGGACCTTCCCCACTCCTGCGTTCCTGCTTTGCAGGGTACAGGCTCTGCTCCAGCCCAGGAGAGCCTCCCAGTGCAGCCACCTCATCCTGCACCTAGGTATAACCACACCCCAGCAGAGAAAGACTGGCCTCCCTGGGCAAGGGAGAACCCGGTTTCAGAGAGGCCCAGGCCTTGGGCAGGGCAGGGCAGGCGTGAAGCAGGAGGGCGGGAGGAACAGGGGCATATCCACCGCTGGGCTGCGGAAATGCTTCCTCATAAATGGTTAAAAAGGGCAGACGGAGTCAGGAAGCTTCAGCAAAGGCCTAGCCAGGGCAGCAGAACCACAAGGGACATAGGCTTCTCTGGCCAAGCCTCACTCAGAAGGACTAACAGACGTGTGACTTGGACAAATTCCTGCCATGCCACCAGGCAGGGAGGGGGACAGAGCCCGATGGGCTGGACCTGGGGCAGGAGGAAGTGTGGTCATGTGAGCGGTATCCTGTCTCCCGGCCCCAAGACGGCAGGCGGCGGCCAGACGACCAGACGTGTGCGTCTCCACTCTCCTCGTAGAAAGGAGTGGCCCAGGGACCACACACCCCCTCCCCACGCCAGCAGCAGAGCACCCAGCCCCCTGCTCACCCTCTGGCTGCTGCAGGGCACAGGGGCCCATCCCATGCCCAATGCTGCTGCAGAGGCCAAGCCTCGGGGAGCGGGGGCCACTCTCCAGCATCCAGGGCACCACAGGCAGAGCACAGGGACTGGTGTGCTGGGGGGGCCTGGCTGCAACCCAAGGGGTCGCCGGAGGATCAAAGAGTGCTCTGGTCCCAACTTAAAGGACTAAGGACCCCCCAATCTTGTCCAGAGAGGACCCAGCCTCCACCCTGCCTGGTGCAGCTGCCCAAGGGCAGAGAACACAGTGATCAAGTAACTGAGAACCCCGCTCCTGTAGCCTCTGGGGGCCGAGCCCAAGATCCTCCACAGCAGAGCAGAGCACAGCCTGACTCCACTCCAGGTTCTGCACAGCAGGGGGCACCGCCGGGTCAGCGGAAGCCACCGGCCTCCACAGGGACACAGCTCCCACCTAGGGAAGGGGAAGTGGCAGGGCCAACACCCCCATTACCGACAGCAACTGCACCGCCACCTGGGCGCCCCCCCAGCCCTGGGATATCTGGGCCATCCCTCACTGCCGCTGGTCTCCCACATCTCCAAGTTCAGGGCCTTGGGCAGAGAAGAGCTAAGAGCTTCAGAGACACCTCACCAGGCACCCCCATGTCCCAGACGGGGAAACAGGCCCCGCTGTTCCTGGCAGGACCAGGACTGGAATCCAGCTCCTCCGGCAGGCTGGACACTGGGATGGCAAGGCATGGACAATGACACGCAGGCAGACCCTCTGCTCCTCCATGTTCTGTGTCCCCTCCATGTTCTGAGTCCCCTCCATGTGCCTTCACACCCACACAGCTCCGCCAGCCCCCTCAACCCGGTGCAGCTCCGAGAGAAAACTATGTCCCAGAGGCAGCCGGCGCCCCGCCCTGTCCTCCCCTCCACCTTCACTCCAAAGGCCAACGTTTCTGCTGGGTGGTGACCAACTGTGTCAAACTGACGTCCCATTTAGGGTTTGTCACGGGGTCCCTATGCAGGCAAGTGGCCACAACCTGCCCCTGAGGTCCCAGCCTCTTGTCCCCACCTCTGGGATGCCCTCCCTCTTCCCAGGAAGTTGCCTGCTAAGGCTCTGAAATCACTCACTTCCCCATGACTCTGCGCTAGGCCTTACACACACACTTTTGAAATCAAGTATAAGTCCAAACCAGGGTTTCTTAATTCCATCTCAGCGGCTTCAACTTCCTCCTCCCAGATACAGCTGAAAACCCTGTCCCCGCCAACTCTGCCCCTACTTTCTAGGCAATCTGAACACCCCCAGCTGCCAAGGATTTATATTTAATTAATCCTTATTTAAATTTGCATCCTCAAAACCTCCACAAAACAATCCTCTAGCTGCACCTCAGGGTCTTATGAAAACCAGAAAGCCTGTGCAGGTCTAATTCGAGGATATGAAAAAAATCACTCCTGCCTCAAAGAACCACGGGGTTTCCATCCTGGTCCAGCTCGTAAAAGGGCGTTTCAAGCCAGCTTTGGCTAAAGCAGCTCTTACAGCCGTCGCTTCTCCCACTGAGGTCTCTCCTGCTGGTGCACTTACTTCCAATTGCCCCTTCCGGGAAAACGAAACCTTCCACCACCTTCGATGATCGACTGCAGAGTAAACTTGCGGAAATTGAAGGAAAATGCAGACACCTGATTCCTTGCAAGTCCCAGAACAAAGACGAAAAGACCACGAGTCCCGTTGTTACCTTTTCTACATCCCAATCACTTGGGGTGCAATACCCCAAAATCTAGGAAAAGGAATCCACCCTTTTGCCCCCACAAAATGTGTTCAGAGCCAATGGTGAATGGACCCACGCTCTCCCACACCGCATACGGGCAGCCTGTCTGTCCCTCCCATAAAGGGCTCTGATCAAGATCCAAGTCAAGCCGGACCCACTCCCACAAGCAGAGCTGACTTTGTGAGGTCCTGGGGGGTAGGGCGGGGGTCCTCAGCGCTTCCAGGGCCAGTCCCCAGGCTGCAGACCCACTCACCTGCAGACGGGACAGCCTCCCACGACCACGATAGAGTTGGCAGGGTACCGGGTGACGGTCCGGCTGTGGATGTTGTAGACCCTGGGATGGTGGGTGGGTATCCCTGTGGGGGGGAAGACAAGTCATTAGGGTGCAGGGAGGAGAAATCGGACCGCGATGGGGACTACTCTTCCCGTCCCCCCACCTCCACCCAGCTAAAAAAGCCCCCGGTCTTTTCCACCCTCCGGACGGTCACCGCGGGCCTGATTCGGCGCTAATCTGCCAACAGCGAGCGCCTCGTGACACAAAGTTCATCTGGGGCAGGAATCCGGCCCCGCCGGGTACGACGGGCCCGAGGACGAGAGCCCCGGGGAGGAGGCTGGCCCTCGGCGACGCGGGGTCCCGAAGCTGGCCCGGGGACCTCCAGCTCCAGGAAGGACCCCCGGGCGGGCCCCGCCGGCCTCCGGACCCGCGTCCCCCGCACGGGCTTGCCCCCTCGGAAGCCGCTGGCGGGGAAAGTTGGTTCCGGGCCCACCTGTGACGAGGTAGGGGTAGGGCGGCGGCGGGGGCGCGGCGGGGATGGCGCCGTAGCCGTGCGGGCCGCACGCGTAGTCGCCCTGGCCGGCCTCCAGGTTGTAGGCGGGCGGCCGCTCCTGCAGCAGGGGCTTATGGTCCATGGCGGCCCGGCCGCGCCCGCCGCTCCGGCCCGGCTCGGCTCGGTCGGCCCCGGCGGGGGACGCGGCGGCGGCGGCGGGGACGCGGCGGTCCGGGTGGCTCGGGTCCCTCTGAGGCAGACGCGGGGCGGGGCGGGGCGGGGCGGGCGCGCGCCGCGGGCTTCCCCCGCCCTCCCCGACCCAGTCACAAGACCGGGGTCACGTGGGCGACGGGAGGCGGGGAGAGAGGGCGGGGCCGGCGGGGCGTCTTAAAGGGGCCGCGCCGTCCCGAAGCCGCCCGACCAGCTGCGCCCTGCGCTCCGCCCCGCCGCGGCTCTCAGACCTCCCGTGGAGGGGAGATTTTCCCCCCTCCCCCACCACGACCCAGAGAAGCCCCATAAGGTCGTGACCTTTAGGGCCCGCGGATGCACCCCCACCTCCCTCTACGCCCCCATCTCCCAAGCCGGCCGAGGTCCCCTCACCCATGGAGGAGGGGGAGGGCGGGGTCTGAGAAGGGGCGGGGCCGGGTGGGTCCCAGGCCGCCCCAACCCCTGCCCTCTGTCCCCGCGATCGCCAGCGCTCCCAGCAATGCAAAGGGTACACCCGGGCGTGCACCCCGGCTGCGGCCTGTGCGGTGCTCAGCTGCGGCGCATTCCCTCCGTTTGCCTTTTTTTTGGACAATTAGGTGTTACAGGGGTAGTGGCCAGTGCTTACAAATAACTCCCCCGTTTGGGGACAAAACCATAAATACTGGGCACCTGCCGCGTCTCCTCAGTTTCCCTAGTCTTCAGGCAGCCCTGCCAGGTGTTCTGCTTACCCCCTAGAGGACAACACGGGACCGGGATCAGAAGGGGGAGGGGTTTGGCCGTGGCAGGTGCGGGTCAGAGCCCGTATCTAAACCTGGGTGTTTTCTGGCCTCGGGGACCGCGTCAGGCGCTCTCGCTGAAACATTTCCTCATACAGGGTTTCACGGGTTTGCCAGAACAACTTTAAAACGAACGATTGGAACGTTTAGGATTCCTTGCGTCCTTAGCGCCTCTGCACCTTTTCAGGGGCACCTGTAGCCCTTACTGTATTCTGTCTCCAGTTTTCTCACCTGCATTTTGATCTCCCCTGCACTGTAGCTCTGGGACGACTACAGCTCTTCTCGAACCACGCCTTTTTAATTTTTAAAAAAAATTTTGTAGGGAGGGCCAGGGGTGGAGGCCCTCTTACTCTGTCACCAGGCTGCAGTGAAGTGACACAATCATTGCTCAATGCAGCCTTGACCTCCTTCCTGGGCTCAAGTCATCATCCCACCTCAGCCTCCTCAGTAGCTGGGACCACAGGCACTCGCCACCATGCCCAGCTAATTTTTAAAAATTTTTATATAGGATCTTGCTATGTTGCCCAGGCCAGTCTCAAACTCCTGACCTCAAGCAATCCTTTTGCCTTGGCCCCCCAAAGTGCTGGGATTACAGGTGTGAGCCCCTGCACCTGGCCTTTTTATTTTTTAATAAGGAATCATCATATATATATATATATATATTTTTTTTTTTTTTTTTTTTTTTGAAACAGAGTCTCACTCTATGGCCCAGGCTGGAGTGCAGTGATGCAACCCTAGCTCACTACAGCGTCGACATCCTGGGCTCAAGTGATCCTCCCACCTCAGCCTCCTAAGTAGCTGGGGACTACAGGTGCACGCCACAGTGCCCAGCTAATTTTTTAATATTTTGTAGAGATGGGGTGTTGCTATGTTTCCCAGGCTGGTCTCAAACTCCTGGGTTCAAGTGATCCTCCCGCCTCAACCTCCCAAGGTGCTGGGATTATAGGCATGAGCCACCATGCCCACCTGACCATCATATTTCTTTATCACAAGTCCAGCTCTTCGAAGCCCATTCCCATTTTGTACGTCCTGTCCTAGTCATCATCCCCACAATCCTCGAAAGAGGAACTGAGAGGTGGTCCAGGTACACTAGAAGACTGAGGAGTGGCCCCTGGCACTAACAAACAGCCAGATCAAGAGTGGAGACTGGGCTGGGCGTGGTGGCTGACGCCTGTAATCTCAGCACTTTGGGAGGCTGAGGTGGATGGATCACTTGAGGTCAGGAGTTCGAGACCAGCTGGCCAACATGGTGAAACCCTGTCTCTACTAAAAATACAAAAGTTGGCTGGGCATGGTGGGCGGTGGGGGGGGGCGGGGTACCTGTAATCCCTCGGGAGGCTGAGGCACAAGGATCACTTGAACCTGGGAGACGGAAGTTACAGTGAGCTGAGATCGTGCCATTGCACTCCAGCCTGGGCGACAGTGAGGCTCCATCTCAAAAATAAAAAAAAAGAGTGGAGACTGGCCAGGAGTGGCCAAGGGCTTTGGAGCCAGTAGAGGCCCTGGTAGGCAGTGAGGAGGCCATTGTTCTTGGGGGCAGCTGTCCGGGCACCATAGGGTGACAGCCCCTGGCCAGAGAATACTGGGGTGCAACCTCGTGCCTCATCAACCATGAAGAGATGTGGCTCAGGTCAACCCTCCTAACACCTGGTCAACAAGGACCACCTGGATTCTCCTCCCAGCCTTGCAAACTGCTGCAGAGTAGCAGCTGCAGGCCCGGTGATCTCCTTTCCTATCAGATCAACAAAAGCTGGCACATTTTCCTTCAATTTCATGGCTAATTTTCCCTTCAGCACTTCTCTGCATTTCCTGATAAACCCCACAAAATCCACAGCCGCTGGTCCCCTTCTCTTCCAGTAATTGTTTTTGCCCCAGCAATGCCCCTGGTTTGGAAACTCCAAGTCTGTGAATGCCGGGGTGTGGTTTTGGGATGTCCCGGCATGGCTTTGACCAGTGCTGCCCTCAGACACAAAGCAGTTCCTGCCCCTTCAAACGTGCAGCATGCAGAAGATGGAACTGCTATCCCAGGCTCTGTGTGCAAGCCCTGGGGGGCCAAAGAGGACGATGACAGGGACACAAGTAGCAGTCAGATAGGGAGGCAGACAGTAACTGTGAAGGGAGCTTTGTATTGCAAGAGGGTTGGAGGTGCCACACACTGGCTGGTGATGAGCCTGAGTGCCTGGAGAGTTCCAGGACCACAGCCTGGCTGGGAAGGCCAGTGGCGAATCAGCCCCAGGGACCTGTGGCAGAGCATTCCAGGCAGAGTGAACTGTGATCCCAGAGAGTACACAGTGGCCCATTATATGCCAGGGCTTGTCACTGGGTGTGGCCGGAGCCCTGGAAGAGTCTCTAGAAGGTAGAGGTGGGGCTGGGCATTGGCATTGGGATAGCATCCTGTAAGAGCTTATTGGGGAACTGCGTAGAGTTTGAATAGGGGAGTGTGAACATCAGATTTCAGTATTAGAAAAATGTCTTTGAAGGGAGGGGCACAGTAGCTCATACCTGTCATCCCAGCACTTTTGGAGGCCAAGGTGGGAAGATCGCTAGAGGCCAGGAGTCCGAGACCAGCCTGAGCATCATAGCGAGACCCCCGCCCCCCGCCCATCTCTACGGAAAATTTAAAAATTAACTGGATGTGGTGGTGCATGCCTCCAGTCCCAGCTACCCAAGAGGCTGAAGTGGGAGGATCACTTGAGCCCCGGAGTTTGAGGCTGCAGTGAGTCATGATCGCACCACTGCCGACAGAATAAAGTGAGGCCACCAATCATCTTGGCTGCTATGTGATGACAAATTCGCATGTGCCAGGCTCTGTACACAGCTCTTTATATGGCTGGCATCTCTGCTCATCTGCAGGACCATCCCATGAAAGTGGCCATTCCTTTCCCCCAGGTGCTTGATGAGGCAACTGAGAACTGGACACAGTGGCTCATGCCTGTAATCCCAGCACTTTGGGAGGCCGAGGGGGCGGATCACTTGAGGCCAGGAGTTCAAGACCAGCCTGGCCAACATGGCGAAACCCCATCTCTACTAAAAATACAAAAATCAACCTGTGTGGTGGCTCACACCTGTAATCCCAGCTGCTCAGGAGGCTGAGGCACAAGATCGCTTGAACCTGGGAGACAGAGGTTGCAGTGAACCGAGATCACGCCACTGCACTCCTGCCTGGGTGATAGCAAGACCCTGTCTCAAAAACAAAAAACAAAAAGCGGGTGGCTCACGCCTGTATTCTCAGCACTTTGGGAGGCTGAGGTGGGCTGATCACCTGAGGTCGGGAGTTTGAGACCAGCCTGACCAACATGGAGAAATCTTGTCTCTACTAAAAATACAAAATTAGCTGGGCGTGGTGGTGCATGCCTATAATCCCAGCTACTCAGGAGGCTGAGGCAGGAGAATCACTTGAACCTGGGAGGCGGAGGTTGTGGTGAGCCGAAATCGTGCCATTGCACTCCAGCCTGGGCAACAAGAGCAAAACTCTGTCTAAGGGAAAAAAAAAAAAAAAAAGGGCCAGGTGTGGTGGCTCACACCTATAATCACAGCACTTTGGGAGGCTGAGGCAGGCAGATCACTAAAGTCAGGAGTTTGAGACCAACCTGGCCAACATGGTGAAACTCCGTCTCTACTGAAAATACAAAATTGGCTGGGTGAGGTGGCTCACACCTGTAATCCCAGCACTTTGGGAGGCCGAGGCCGGTGGATCACAAGATCAAGAGATCGAGACTATCCTGGCCAACATGGTGAAACCCCGTCTACTAAAAATACAAAAATTATGGTGGCACACGCCTGTAGTCCCAGTTACTTGGGAGGCTGAGGCACGAGAATCGCTTAAACCCAGGAGACCGAGGTTGCAGTGAGCCAAGATTGTGCCATTGCACTCCAGCCTGGTGACAGAGCAAAACCCTGTCTCAAAAAAAAAGGAAACTGATGCACAGAGAGCTTCCGTACATTTCCAAGGCCTCCCAACCAGTAGAAGTGGGTCTTCAAACAACAGATGTACCACACTTAATCCTAGGATCACCCCACACTGCCTCTGCCAAGCACACAAGAGAAGCATGCCGCCTTTTGCTGGGTGTTTTGTTTGAGGTGGAGTTTTGCTCTTGTTGCCCAGGCTGGAGTGCAGTTGCACGATCTCGGCTCACCGAAACCTCTGCCTCCCGGGTTCAAGCGATTCTCCTGCCTCAGCCTCCCGAGTAGCTGGGATTACAGGCGTGCGGCACCACGCCCAGCTAATTTTTTTGTATTTTTAGTAGAGATGGGGTTTCTACATGTTGGTCAGGCTGGTCTTGAAGCCCCGACCTCAGG